ATTTTATTGGACAGTTTTTTCGTTACACTGCATCTCCGAAATTGAAACATTGTCGAGTATAGAGTTGGTGCACCATATATTAATATAGGTAGTAGTAGGAGATTACACAAAGTAAAAGAAATGTTGATCCAAATTCTCAATAGCCAACAATATCAGTGAATTTCACGTGTATTAGTATGGTTTATCACTGTATTCTTATGTTTGGCTCTAACATTGCCCAGGATTTAGGATTGAGCTGATATTCTACCAATCGTCTTCCAGGAGTTTGTGTCATCTTGTTGTTGAGAATTGCATAAAAATAGTGAGTAAAATAGTTGCCATACATAATACAGTGGAATTATAATACAAAGGATCTGTTTACTGGTAGTGCACAGTGAAATCCACTTTAACGAACGTCCGGTTTGACAAAGATGGTCTTATACCGAAGATTTTCATGGAACCAATTCATTCATATTAATATGTGTTTAGCGCCCGATTGAGCGAAGATTTATAATTAAACCTGTATATCGATATAACGAAGAAATTTCAAACTCTACTAATAAAATAAACCATTCAAGATTTCCTAAATTAGAATGATATACCGAAATGTTGGCACATAATAATAAAAAGCTCAGTATAATATATCGAACTTCGTTATCGCACTACTGTATATATATATATATATCTGAACAACATATTAAATTTATGTCTAATTTTCATCCGTTCAAGTTGCAAATGGTTGTGAGGAACCACCATTAGACATAGAAGCATAGTAGCGAAAAACAGACACGTTTAGAGGGTTTTGTTAACTTTGGAAATTGTTAGAATTAATTGGAAAGTAAATAAATATAACGAAGTTTACGTAATCAGATATAAAAATTAGTTATTATTGTAGAGATAGAAGTCCGCATTAACGAAGTTTTTTGGCAAAACGGAGACCTTTGTTAAAGTAGATTTCACTGTGTAATTGTTGTATCTGATCTTCGGTGATATTATTTGTCGCCGTACGGTGAAACGGCGATGGGGGCAATGTTATTGATGCCCTAAATATTTTAACGAAATTAATAGGCCGTTAAGAGTAACGATTAAATTAGAAACGTGTAATTCTTATTTAGTTTGTTATATATTTATAATTATTACGAATGGTAGCTGGACGCTACAATTAGGCCCTATTTATTTCATGTTCCTGTTCCTACTCCGATTTTGTCCACTTTCCAAATTTACTCTAATATCTAATTTAGGTAATGAAAGTGAGAACAAAAATGGACACAACATCAGACTTGTGTCCATTTTGTTTCTCACCAAAAAGGAAACAAACTTGAACACAAGATACGCATCAAAAAAAAAGATTGACACCATCACTTATGCCAATGTCTACTTCAGTGAAAAAACTCCACCTACTAATACTAACACTATTGCCAGAAGAGTCTGCAAGTAACAGTGCTTGTGAAATAACAGCACATAATGATATTAAAAATTTTTTTTTTTGTTTTCAGAATTTAAGCCAAAAAAGAGTCAGTTGCAGATCATGTACGCATTTAGTTACAGTAACAAAATAAGAGAGAATTGACGTATTCATATCATTTCCTGTTTCTGCATAAAAATGGAAGTGGGAACAAAAAAATTGGAACATGAAATGAATAGGGCCTTAGCTTAAGTACAATATAAATAAAATTTGTTTTACTGACAAGTATATAAGACGAGATTAAAAGTTTGAATTGTTCGAATACTCTAATTAAATAAAATCCACGTCAGCTTGTATTTACAAATAAAATAATGGTTACTGTTATTATAGAAGCTATTGTATTTTTTAATCTTAAACAAGTTTTCACATTAGATTGACATAATAGGCCTGTTTAAATTCTGTTCCGTTCCGTTCTGTTCCGACGGCAAAATTGTATCAACCAATCAAAAATCAGTGAAAATTGAGAACAAATTTCGCGTTTTCCCGTTCCGTTGTTTTCCTTTTCACTCCAATTTTCAAGTTTTATTCTTTACAAAAATATATGTATATATTTCTAAAAGCCATTAGAACCCTTTTGCGCAACACAACCATTTATTTTTTACGCTTATTAATAAAACGTGTGTGAGACGAGGATGGAAACAGATAAGAACTGCAAATTTGTTGTTCCCTCTGTTTCCGTCATGTGATTTTTAATCCGCCAAGGCACGTATTATGCGTTGAATTCTTGGGTTTCAGAAACAGTTTATTATTATACGATCTATAACCAAAAAATAATTGTACGAGAGGTGTGCTTTGAAAGTATTTGACACGGCTTACGATATCAAACGCGATTTTGTTAGCAGTGTACGGTTAGATGTAAATTATAGTCGTTGCTGTCAATATGTGTGGATCTAATCGTGTGATTACAAGCATTTTTATACCGATTTATCTAAAACTTTTTAATTAAAATCTCTCTATTACTATACGATATTTTTCTCAAATCACCTTTAATTGAAGTCATGCTTGAATAATTTTACCAGAAAGAAAATCAAGCAAAGGAAAAAAAGTCCGTAGTGGGTGCCTCGTTTTATACCGATATTTTTGCTGACCAAACTAGTCATATCGGTATAAAACGGTTTGACTGTAATGACATTTTCTGTATTTGATGTTTGTAATCATAGGCATATCACACCAATAAGCGACATTTAATCAACATACTTTATGTAGTTTTATCAACGTAAAATGTGTCTATTTCGAATTAAGTCAGATTGCGTTCGGGTTAGACTATTTAATATGCTTATTGGTATGGCTAGATTGTTTGCGTAATACAGTTTGCATTTGAATATGACTTTACATTATGTTAGACTGTATGTTGATATTTGTCCAACTAACATACAAGTTGCAATTTGACAGGTAACAAGACAAAAAATTGATCTCATTTATATTAAATATTAATACTTGATAGTAATAGACAATTGCTCACAAATGCTTCGCTTGCTTGACATTCGTTTCCAAATGTGCGATAATCCATATTTCGATGGTTGGCAGACATTTTCTCTACACTAATGACGATAAAACCAAGCAGTCCATTGCATCAATTAGTGCAATTATTATGTTAATGTCGTAAGTAAAACTTGAAAAGATCTAAGAGACGGTTCAGAACTGGTACAACATGAGTTGACTTTTATCCCGTGCTACCATCGGAGTCACGTAGAAATTAGTCAGAAGCTACCAACAACTTCATGCCCAGACTTGTAATGCATTCGAGTTTGTTACTTCTGTATATACTACTCCAATTAAGTTCTGTGCTGTCGATGGGAGGAGGGGGAGGGGGAGGTGGTGGTGGTGGTAGTGGAGGAGGTGGTGGCACTAGTGGAGGTGGCGGCTTTAGCGGAAGTACTAGTACGTAGTAGTGGTGCAGACACTGGTGGTGCAAGCACTGGTGAAGACTTCCCTACTACTACATATACAAATTACAATACTGGTGATGAAGGAGATGGAGGCTCTGACAAATTTAGCATTTGGGAACTTACAGATCTTTTTATAGTAATCGGCTTCCCCGTCTTACGTGGTATAAGTGCTTTCTGTCTTTCAGTATTGGTCCCACGCACACGTTCATGTCTTTCAATATTGGTCCGACGCATACGTTCATGTCTTTCAAGGTTGCTGCAAAAAATCAAATCTATCATAAAACATGTTCTTTTCAAAATTTCTTGTCTTCTTCCCATACAAAAGACAAATACGGTATCAAACCAATAAGTGCAATGATTTCAAAAAATTTATGATTCCGCCTTTTGACTGGCAACGCGCAATTCCTACGAATAGTACAACTTCTACGGATAGTAGTCGGGCTTCAACGCCATGCCCCCTATTTGGATCTCGAATCTGGTAATATGCCTCCTTTATATGGAACTCAGCCCCCCGCACCTGAGCCTGTCCATTTGTACGGGAAAAAGCATGAAGCAACGACTGAATCGTTTAAAGCAGGGAATCGTTATATCCAACAACATCCGCCTTAACTAAAACTACCGTCAGAGGAAGTCATAAGTGGTCGAGGTGGTGCGTCGACATATCAAATTGTTCCCGAGTCATCGGTTTCCGAGCGTCAGTTGGCGGTCGTCTCAGATAACGGACGTATTGTGCAGTTTAATGAGTCAATAGGCACTATGGTGAGCACAATGGTACAGGCAAATTATCCAGTCTTCGTGCTATCAGAAACAGTACCAAAGCCAACCCCTGCACACACGGTAGGTATTACAAGTTCTCGCGTGTGTTACATGCTATCAGCAAACTCCGGCGTCATCCGGAACCGGGGAAAAAGATCCTTTGCCCCTGTTAGTGGACGATCTGACGCCTGACGAATCAAATGAATTGCATTACTTTGAGATTACTGTTCTGTCAAACCCAAAGCCTGAAGACACTACAATAGCAATAGGTCTCGCCACAAAGCCTTATCCACCATTTAGGTACATATTCACGTCTTTTTGACTTGTTTCACGAATTTCACACATTAACTCTTAACTTTTCTTTACCCTCCTCAATGCTAGGCTTCCGGGTTGGAACCTTTACTCAGTTGGGTACCACTCTGATGACGGCCGTAAATTCAACGATGCGTATGGAGGTCGCGACTATGGTCCTGAGTGGGGTGAAGTTGGAGACACTGTCGGATGCGGATATTATCCAAACACCGGATTTGTATTTTTTACTAAAAACGGGGAGAATATTGGTACCGCATTTACTGGTATGCGATATCTTTGGTATCCTACGGTCGGGGCGCATGGCCATGTAAAGATAAATTTTGGAGATGATGGGCCATTTAAATATTGTGAAGCGAGAGGGTTTGTTCCGTCGGGGAGGGAACGTAGCAGCGAGGATATGAAAGAATGTTGGTTGTAAATTGAATAAATGTATTATAAATAAACTTGTTCGGATATCGCATATTTGAGTCGTATCAGTCTACACAACCCTGTCCATACGTTCAGGTTTATACCCAGTGCGTTGCTGTTGCTCATAGTTTGAAATATGCGTCAATAATTTGCATTATGACACATAATTCGTCAAGTAAATTCCCTTCAAAAACGAAAATTCTTTCCACATAAGATTAAGTTGTTTCAACAAATCTTTCGTTAACTCGGATATTCCATAGCAATTGATATACAATAATGTCACTTGCCAAATGAGAATTTATGAAAAACTTCATTTTGAAGGAGGGGTGGATACTTTCAGACACCATATTTTCTATAAAAAATTGTATATAAAACACTGTATATAATGAAACATAAACATCCAGAAGTAGCGTTTTTAGACATGCATAAAAAAGAATGCAACTTAGTGCCACAGCCAATAGATGCCGAATCACGTTCTGCTCCGCTTTAATATTAAACCCCGGATCCGTTATATTCCTGTTTTAATATAAAAGTCTTCTATATTTAAACATTTACAACATACAGTATCCTTTTCTCACATCTATTACGGACGGGATTAATTTAAAACTATCTCTAGCACATTCACCTAGTCGTTATGTCTGAATGCCATGCTGTGAATTGCAAATTTTTATCATAATTACGTGATAATCTATTTCAGTTACATGACTATATAAGGTACATATTAGGTAAGTATTCTAACTCAGTTTCTTTTTGTGTTTTTCGAGCTTTTTCTCGTATTCTTTTATAGAATCAGATTTTGCGTAATAATATATTAAGTACGGAAAGAAATCGCGCCGTTGTCTTTGCTTTCGCGTAAGCATACACATTTCTAATTCGCATATGAGCTGTATATACAGTCAGAGGTCAGTCAAAATGTTCAAAGAGAAAATAACAAACCGTCACACCACACTAAATATTCGGAATCTGAATTTACCTCTGCTCTTTGTTTAAGCCAAGCATGCCGACCAACAGTTTTGGCATCACCAACGACGTCGCTCATTAAGGCAATCAAAATGTTCAACAACACAATCGCGGTTATGAATGTGAATGCGATTGTCAGAATGGCAATTGTCGGATTGCCGAATGCATCACTGATATTGCCGAAATTGTTTGTCTATTAATAACAATAAAATTAATAAAACGTCTCTGTGCAATTTATTTGAGAATGCAAGCAGGTTACTTACCACAAAAAAGAAAACCGAAACTAGTGATTCTTGCGGAGTCGCGAATTGGTCTGTAACTGTGCTATTGCCTACCAAATCTGTAATTTCCGCATAGGACAACAAAAGCCAGTAAATGTGCGTGTATGCAATCACCATCATGGCAATTATGAACATAAGCCCTTGCACTCTGTTGAATATTTCTATTATCATAAATATTGGTATTCCAAAACCCTTGAACACTCGGAGTCGTAGTATCTATGATAGAGAACGACAGGTTAGTTAAAATTGATATTTGGATGCGACATTAATTAATACTTACAAAATTGACATAGACAAAGAACATGGCGCTACCAACGTATTGACGCCTGCTATCGCTTCCGGAAAGTGCCCCCACAGCGTAAGTTATTGGCAATACGGTACTTGCCAAATCAATCAAATTATATATGGTTACATAATAAGAGTGATATGCAATCAACTGCATCGCCTCAAGCCCGACAAACATGAATCCCAATAACAACACCACAGATGAGAACAATCTGATCATATTCTCGCTCTCGTTACCCTGTTGCACTCTGTCAGAATCGAGAGTAACGGCCGTCATGAATGAAGCAAGATACAGGAAATATATACCAGTAAGAACAATGTATCGTATTTTAGCAAATTTCCTCCATTTGAAATTAATAATAGCCTCCATGGCCGGTTCGCCAAACATATCATATCGACCTTCGAGAACCGAACTAGCAAATGGGGAGAGGTATTTGTGCCATCCAAATACATTCAAAAATCCGAGACGGGATTTTGGTTGCTTGGGATACTGGGTAAAATTCGGCAAAGGGACAATACATACAACATACGAATGGCTTTCGTTCTATTCAGAGGAAGAAGTTGATATTAATAATTATTAAGAAAACGATAAATGCCAAATCAAAGTATATACCCAGAATATTAATATTACCTGATGTTCATTACTAAAAAATCTACTCCATTTGAAGACTGCACCATCATGCGCATCTGCCTTATACACATCATCGCTGCTTTTCTCTTTATCTGAGTAGGCAAAGTTCTCTCGCTTATTGCTCCATACAGCGGGCTTGTTTAATTTGAAGTAACTTATATCTTTTACCAATTCCAGAGCAGTGTCAGGGTGTTTTGAACACAGTTGACTGAATGCAGGAACAACAAGTTGCAGAATCTTCTCGGGGTTGGGCCTACTCCCCGAGTTCCTATTCACCGATCTCATGGCCTCTGAGTCCTTTGCTCTCTTGCAGTAATACTGTAATAATGGACGGACTATTTCGGTTCTACCCAACGATATAGCGTAAGAAAGGTCTGACTGACGAGCCTGTTCATCAGTATCATAAAATTTCAGAGTAATTTTTTCTTTCTCCACTAATTCTTTAATCAAATTATTGGCTCGTTCACAATCAAATTGCATTAAAACTTTCAAGATTGATCCTTTGCTCCATATCGCTTTTGAATCATCGTTTGAAGCGCCCCTAAACCAGTGGGCTATACGCGGCCTGTGCTCTGATTCGTCAGTCGATTCAATACTGCCAAAGTCTTCAACGTGTTCAAATACATCGCCATCCGAAGATGAAAGGGCACGGCGAATAATCCCTTGACACTCGTTCTGAAGCATTTCGTAACGCCGATATTTATCATTCGACCACGATTCATGTTCAAATGAGTTCAAAAATCCAAGAGCAAACGATGCATCTCGTACTGTATGGAAACTGGCAGGAGCATCCTTACGCGGCAAGTGGAACCTCGTTTTAATGCTATCAGTGGTGCCTTGCACCTTGTATTCGAAAGCGATAGTAAAGACTTCGTCTGATAGTTTCGTCAATTCTGCCCACTCAATAAAGTATTCTTTAATAAAATCTTTTTCTCGATTTCGTTGTATAATCGGTCTACACCAAATATATTGCAGAGTTTTACTTTCTGCAAAGTGAGACCATAACTGTATCGTGTGTTTACCAATGAACAATACTCGGTCAGTTTCATCATCCAACATGACTGCTGTTCTGACACGGGTCGTGACCCATGGCTCTGTTACAAATTGCTTAACAGAATTAATTACTCCCACTTTATAAGGTGTATATGAAATCACTTTGTTACGACCTTTTTCTTCAAAATCATGCCTCTTTATGCCCTTGGAGGAAGCGGGCGGAAGAAGCGACTTTTGCCTTTTCCCCCCACGACGTGGAGAAACAGGTGGCGGAACAGGTGGAGGAGCAGCAGAAGAAACAGGTGGAGAAACTGGAGGAGAAACGGGAGGAGAAACGGGGGGAAAAACGGGGGGAGGAACGGGGGGAGGAACGGGTGGAGGAACGGGTGGGGAAACGGGTGGGGAAACAGGTGGGGAAACAGGTGGAGAAACAGGTGGAGGAGCAGCAGAAGAAACAGGTGGAGAAACAGGTGGAGGAGCAGCAGAAGAAACAGGAGGAGAAATGGGGGGAGAAACAGGTGGGGGAGAAACAGGTGGGGGAGAAACGGGGGGAGACACAGGTGGGGGAGAAACGGGGGGAGACACAGGTGGAGGAGCAGCAGAAGAAACAGGAGGAGAAATGAGGGGAGACACAGGCGGAGAAACCTTCCGTTGTTTCGTTTCCACGTCTACAGGTGTTGCAATAGACTCCGTACTTTCAACTATCTTCACGATTGGTTTCACATTTTCTGATGGCGTTTCATTTTCGGTGAACCTAGATTCCTGATCGTTCTCAACAGTGTTCTCGAATGGATAATTTCCTGATTCAAAAGATCCGACAGGGCTCATTTCAGTTGACCCATCATCATCGAATCCATATCTCTCGGCAATAAACTTCTGGGCGCACTCGAGAACCTCTTTCTCCAACTGAATATCGTTTCGCAATTGAGATTTCAACCAAGATCGTGCTTTAACAGAACTATCATACCAAGAGTCTTTAAAACCATCGGCAACTAGTTCCCAATACTGCAACGTTACCGCAGTGGCCCTAACTCTGTCTTCAATGTCTTTCATACGTCCACTACTGAAATAATCCTCTAGCTCTGCAGAAAACTCTCCTGAGTTTTTGAATTCAAAGAGGTTAGCTGTCTTTCCGTTAAGAAGAAAAAAGCCCGGTTTTGATTGATACTTCAGAGACCGCCTAACAGTTCGTTCGATAGCTAAATGCAATAGTTGTTAGATCAAATGACTGAATCGATCCACGCATATTTCAAAAACTAGAGGCAAAAAAAAAAAATTACCAGACGGATGCAAAACGTTCTCTTCTTCTTCTTCTTCTTCTTCAGCAAGAGTAACGTTAAACGTATCGATGACAAGTTTTCCCGCAACTTTGTATAAATTCTCTTCTACATCGACGAAATGAACTTGAGAACTAATCCACAGCTCCGAACTGTTAACGGGCAGCGTCCATTCGCTTTTGAATTTTTGGCAAATAATCTTAACAAACGTGATGATTAAAGCTATGGACCAAACGCGCACGTTTACGGACATTAGTTGTTTGTCAGTCATAATGCGCGTTGCTAGGGCGTGGAAAAGATCTGACGCAGATTCAAAATTAAAGCAGAGAGCCAGGTTGTTGCTAACCTCGAAAGCACTAGCGCTAAATGTCATGCCGATAAGACGGTACAAGTCATCGATGTTAATAGTGTCCTTGCTTAAATGGAAGTGGTCACTTTCAAATCTAGTAGAATAGAATTGAGCTTCAACTCGTAGCACGCACTTAGACCCTCCTGGAAAATTGATTGTTTCACTTTTTTCTAAGGCTTGTCTCCTATTATATCGTCCATCTGAATTGTGCGTGATCAATTCACTTAACGTTAATGAAAAAACTCCAGCACTAATATCAGTCAATTTTTTATCGAGAATTTCGAGAATGAGCTGGCCCTTTGCATTGCGTACTGGGACGCAATGTACTCCGCAAACGTTGTTGGCCGTGTATGCAGGCGTCCCTTTGTTGGCGGTTCCCTGCGCATTAACCTTGAAGATGCGAACCCCCATACTACCCGATAAAACGATATCGTTCATTTGATCAATTTTGATTCTTAGGATGCCAACTACAGTAGCGTCACTTTCATCGTATTCATCTTCGTATAGCTCATTATCATCTAACTCATAGTCATCGTCATATTCAAAATCTTCAAATCCATCATCCTCTTCAATATCGTCAAATTCATCTTCGTCTTCAAATTCTTCATCGACCTCCTCCTCTTCTTCAGGTTTGGTTTTCTTACTTGTCTTGAAAGACAAATCCTTAGTTAAAGTCTCTTCATCAACTTTATAACGGCCACAGACAAATGTGCGCGCTCGCTCGAGCAGTTCCTTTTTGACTTTCTTGTCGCCAATTTGCGCGCTTAACCACACGGAAGACTTTTTATAAGCATCTGCCCACTTGTCACGGTGATCAACCAGTACATAGCGGAAGTACCATTGAAGGACTGCTGTGACATATATGTTCTCACCAACGCTAACGAAATCCGGTGAGAAGTAAGCTCGCAAATTTTCTCGCGCAGCTTCTGTTGACTCGTATCCGAGAAGTTTTGCAAGACGATCATCGAGCACGTAAAATCCTTCTTCAGTTTGGTACGAAAGTATACGGCGGATATCTTGATTAGAAACAAGTGTTGTTGTATATCCTTCGGCTTTGTCAGTCTGACTCTCGCTCTCGAGAACGTTGAATTGTTTGACAATTATGCTCTTTGCTTCTTCATATAATTGTTCTTCAGTTTCTATATCGTTAATTGATTCGGTAATCCAATTTTCCGCCTTTATGTATGATGTCAGCCATTCTATTTCGTGTTCCGACAAGACAATCTTAAAAAATGATATGACAAAAACCGAGACAATGATGGATTTGTCAAGTGACTCGAAATTCTCCTGAAATGGTTGGATCAATTCCTCGATGGTTGAAAAGTTAAAAAGCTTGGCCAAGCAATCATCAACTTCAAATGATCCTGTCTGACTCTGTAGAGACAAGATGAAATAGAGACGATCTAGGCCAATAGAGGGAGCGTCTAACACTTCTCTCAAATAGTCGTCGCCAAGAGAGATAAATTCCACGTCAAATCGAAGTCGACCAGTAACATTACTCTTATATCTTAAATCAACATCTCTTTTCTCACGCCTGGCTTCATTTGTTTCACAAGCTCGAACCACGACTTTGTCAACATCCAGAATGCACGCGCCCAACGGAACATTCTTAAAGAACGCATTATAGTCGTTTACTTTCAATTTTAGTTTCTTTTGCTGGTCATACAACGGGATATAAAAGACTTGCTTCCAGACGGGTTTTTTACTATTGTACACAATTTTTGTCTCACCGTAACTCCATTCGGTAGCTAAATCGGCAATCGTGACGTATGGATCCGAGTCTCCACCTGCCGACCAAAATAAACCGAGCGCCTGATCGATGGTTGCACTGTCGATATGCAGACGTATTACGCCGATTGGGTTAGACGTGCCTATACAATTTACTTGGGAAGTTAGAATTTCCAAAAAAAAAAAAAAATTACGTCTCGCCTGACTTTCGTAGCACGCATCACCACATACCAACTAAAGCCTTATCCTTTCCAGATTGAATTAATTTCTTCCTTTCCTCGAATGACGCTTCGAACTGAGTATCCATGCTCAATATTTCATCGCCAATATTGTAAAGTTCCCTTACGAGTGACTTTGTGAGCTCGAATGCGTTCTTTTCAATCGACTCGCTAGCTTTAAACTGAGTGTATAACCATCTGTAGGCGGTTTCATACAGGGGCTGCCATTCGGTTTGATCATCAGTTGCTACTAAACGCCAAAAAAGGAGAATAAACACGGTGGCCCAGGTATTAGCATTCATACGCGACAATCTGCTTTTCAAAGGCTTATGTTTGAGTCTCATGATTGCTGAGCGGAAACGTTCTTCGCTGTCGAATCCAAGAGACGAGGCAAGCTCATTGTTAATAAAGAAAGCGCCAGTTTCTTGCTGGTTTTTGTAAATAGTCTCAATACGAGCTTTGTTGATGCTGGTCTTGGGAATAGTAAAAGGTGCTTCAAGCCTTGCGGCAACGTTTGGGTATTTCTCAAGAATAAACTTTTTGGCACCTCTGAAAACATCAGCTTCTATTTGGGCGTTCCCTAGTTTACTATCCAGCCAGGCAGACAATTTTTTATAATGTTTATCCCAGTAGCTCTTGTAGTCAACAGCTACCAATTTCAAATACATGGCGGTAATCGCAGAAATTTGAACTTTCGAGCCGACTTTGCTCGCAAAAGAGTTGCCAAAGTATTTTTCCAATATCGTAATTCCATAGAAAGCAGCGATTCCGTCGGTGAAAGGAAACGAGCCAGTTTTGGATTGAAAGGTGAGTAATCTTGTAACGGTTCTGATGGTGATGTCTAGAAAACAAGGCGTCAATAATTAATTCAACGGATTATGGTTCAGTAATACAAGTCAGTACAGATTATATTTCATTTACCGGGTTGCACTTTAGTATCAATGCTCGTAACTCCGAATCTATGCATAACGAAATCTATCGCTACCTTTGCTAAGTGATTACACAAGTCAACGTCATAAAGCTGATGGGCAATCCATGTGCGCAATTTAGCGACATACGACTCCCATTCGGTTTTAAATCTCGAACAAACGAGTCTCATGTAAGCAATCACAAGAGCAGTGGCCAATATGCGGTTATCTCCGTCAAGCTTAGCAATCTGGTTCTCATAAATGTCACGATTAGGAATCTTGTTGTGCCACTTTTTAAACTCTGTCAGCAACTTTTGATTGTCTTCAAAATTGAAAATCTGTGCCAGTCTGTCATCAAAATCATACGACCCGTCCGAACGCTTCCACAAAATAATTGCGTAGAGATGGCTGATCTCTATGTTCTGTTCGCTGAATGTAATGTCTCTGTCAATTGTCAGACAATTCTTCGGGATGAATTGAGCTTCTATATGAATTTCAATCCCAGTATCCCTACCATCAACACTCTTAATTTTCTCCCATCTATCAATGTCTTCTATTTTTTCAATCTTATTCTTTGTAAATAGTTCATTGAAATGCAATTCGTAGGAACCAAGATGAGCTTGCGTGATAAATAGATTCCTCTTGTTTACACGGAAAGTAATCTTGTCGCTCGATCCAGCCACAGGAACATAATGTACGCTTTCGGTTTTTTCAGATGACGTTATTATCTTGGTGATTTCATTCTCGGCGGCGTCAACAATGGTGACAGAAAGACCCGATTGAACCCATCCTTTGTCTTTTGAGTATTCCTTGATACAATTAGACGTGACAGTGAGAACAAACAGACCCTGACCATTGACATATGTTTCAACGGGTGGTTCATGATGCTCGAATTTCCCGTTCTCAGTCGGTTTTCCGGCCGGTTCTTTATATTCGTCGTCAGAGTCAATACCATCGTCGGTTTCGTCGTCTTTCTCTGGGAGCGTAGGTATCGATTTGTTTTCAATCGGATTATCTTCTTCGTCGACGTCCTCGTCGTCCTCGTCTTCAGATCTACGCGGTTTGTTGATGAATGGAAATTGCTTGCCATAGTTAGCGTACGCACCGCTGCCTGTTGGTTGGAATACTGACTTTGGCTCTATATGTACATATTCGTCAGTAATGGCCATACAAGTGTGAACGTCGCGTATTTGCATTCCACTTGCGTTAATTATCATTACAGATTGATCCCCGCTAATCCACATTATGCTTGTCTCTCCCTTGGTGTCGTGGCTTGCCGCCGTCGCAGAGGAAAGTATGGCGCCACCGCCTTCGCATGAAAAAATTGCAAGTGTTCCTTTTGAAGTCCATGCTGCAAGCATTTGTTTATTATGGGAAAGAGCAAAAGCGACCGGTTCTTCATCACCGTTTAGGAAAGAATCACCTGCCGGGCATCGAATGGAAGTTATCTGTTCATATTCAGATATCGACCACAGTGATGCTAATCTCCACTAAAATAGTAAAAATTGATAGTCAGCCCTTCCAATCGAAAAGCAGCAAAAACGAACGATCGTTTATACTCACGTCCTCCACGCATACAAAATAGTCTCCGAGCATTGAGTTCTTCAAAAATGTCATTTGATCCCACGGATTAAATATGCGTTGCAGACTATTTGCGAGTTTGTCGCAGATGTCAGAAATGTCGTTTCTTTCCAATGTCCAATTGCGTGTCGAAAAGACATAAAACAATTTCTTTCTTGTAACAGAGTCATGCACATTGCACACAATGAGCTTTGTATTGTCAGAGGAAAACCTAATTGCTCCTTTTAGATTCATCAAAGTAGGCTCAAGTACAGGGCGCGTATTGCTAGTGTCGACGACATATGTGAAAAACTTGGTAGCATCAGTTTTGAGTTCAAACGGTACTGGATCTTCCAAATCCTGTGGAAGTCTAATCGTGCTTAGAGCTACAAAGCTACCTGCAAAGCATAATAGTCTCGATATTAGTTCGAATGGTTTATTTTGTCGGGCATACAATCGACCTGACCTTACCTTTATTCGACAATGCAAAATCAACGTTGCTCATCAATTGTTTAGAATTGTTTGATGTGTCAAAACTTGTTCTCTCTATTTTATATTCTCCTTGCTTTAAAGCAGTGTCATTGTTCTGCCAATCGTATGTTTTTCCTTTTTTCTCTAGCGTAGCTACATTCCATATAGTTATTATACCCTCGGTTGCCGAATATGTGGCCAAATGGTTTCCATCTGGTGAGAATGTACATGCGTCCACCAGCCTAGGTGGTGGCCTTTGAGGGTCAATGTCAATTCGAGTATCATTCATCATGGGACCTTTATGTGAAAAAGCAAGAGTTTATAAAGGGTTTCAGAAAAATCTTTTGGGGCGACGATCTTGACCCATTTACCAGGTTATTTTTAGCCCGAACAAACTTTATTTCGAATGGCCAATCACACCAGTTATGTTTTGCGTTATTCAAAACAGAGATTGAATTCTCCGTTTCTTGTTACTGTATACGGATTTATGTTTTCGTTATCCAGCTTTGAATCGTATCTGTAGATAGAAACTTGGCACCGGTGGAAAAGCTTGCTACACCGAAATAAATGTGATGTTGATATTTAATTACACCATATCGATATGAGCTGCATGAGAACACCATAAATGGTATTAAAAAGACATTGTTTTGTGCTACTGTATTGCAGTTGGTGGTTGATATTGATGTTGATGTGAGCTCTTTGTGTTGTGACTGTTGAAACAGATGATAATCAACAAAGACAAATGCAATTTTCTAACAATAATAATAACAAGACTATTCTCCCTTTGGCCGCCGGAATAAACGCATATACACAATATTAGAGTGCATATACACATAATGACTTTTGTTTAACGTATCTGCATTAAAAGTAATATTTATTAGACAGGGGTTATGGTAACTTGACTGGATATGCGAACACACAACTTTCGATTGGCGTAGAAGACGTTTCTTCTAGACTGCTAACCAATTATGATTACGGAAGGGTCTCCTCAACATACACCCGGTCATGTAATAGAATCTGTACACCTCGTAAGTGTAAATTAAATGGTGTAATATCCCTTACACATCAGAAATGTAAGTTAAATGAATGTATGGTTTTTGTGTATACCCCCTAATATTATCGGCACATTCATATTAACATGGTATGACATTATGCATAATTGTATGATTATGTATAGGCAAACTCCTATGTAAAAAATATACTCCAAATCAATTATGAGCGAGAAATCCTAATTCGTAACCTCGGCAGCAGTTGGACGCATGTCAAGTAGGAATACATCTATAACTATATTATTCAGAACATTCATTCATGTAAGTCGAAAGTGTATTTCGTTGTTTTATTTTATTAGACTGAGCGGCTATCGTTTATGAAAACTGATCGTAGCTGTCAATTAAGCATTTGGTTTCAAAAATACTATATATAGACTTACTAATATCTTTATAAAATGCGATACTACTCAAACAACCAATTGCTAACTTCTTACATATAGTGCATATATACATTATATTAATATCGTATCTTGTTATATCACAATATTAGTGGTGTACGCAAAGACTATACACCCTCATATTTCCGAGACATTCATGAGATCTTTCGGACTATCTTGTACTTGTGATACAGTACATTGTCTGACGCACTAAGCTTTTTATGTGCATTTCAATCAGAAAATTTTTATTCTGTGAGACCAATGTTGGAAATCATGCATTATTGACTTTGGACCTGTCTCCGTTCTGGACTGAGATGACTGAGATGACTGAGTTTAGACTGAGATGACCGAGTTCTATATTCAGATCGTCCCCAGAACTGAGGTACAACACAATACAGCACACGCTTACCAATTACCTGTTACTCTATTGTATAACAATTTTTCTGTCTTCAGTGATTTTAACCCCTATTTTTCGTAATTGAACAAGTGCAACAACTTTTGACAAGTAAAAGGATTAAAACAGGTAACTTTATTGTCAAGTTTAGAATTGGTGACCGTATTAATATGTATTTTATTTATATATGCAAACAAACTTTAATACCAGTGCAAAGCAATTGGCGCAAGACAACTATGTACGCCCAACTCTTGGCTTGCACAAAAAAGAGGTCAATCGTGTATCCAACATTTCTGTTTTGTAATGATCAATATGAGATAACGTCGATCGTCCAACAAATGAGACATGAACAATATGAACAGATTTTTTGAACTACATTTGTTTTTTCATATTGTTTTACAGCTTAAATAAACTGACTATTGTGATAATCGAAGTCATTTACTCTTGTTTGATAAACTAATATTTCTTTGTTTTTCAATAATGCTTGGCTCTTATGTATTGTTATTTTAGCAGTACTCTGCTGTCAATAATACGCTAAGCCAAAAATAATTTTATGATTTTAAATGGTTTGTATTGTAATAATGTATCCCAAGAATTGTAATGCAAATTAAGCTAACGCTAGGGAAACGAATAATAGACTGATAAAATTATTGGTTTAATAATTCTACTCATCAAGAATCAAATCGCACACGTTAAATGGTAACAATTTACCAAAACGTCGGAGCAATCTGGAAACTTTAAACGAATACTTTCCGGGTCAAACCCGCAGCATGTCAATAATTGAGTGTAAAAAAACCAGACAAAAGTTAAACAACGTTTCTGAAATGCTCTACTTTTTTTCAACACAAATTTGTAGCGGTTTATATCAATTACTTGCAAATAGTATTTGTTAAGATTCCAACGCATCATTGGTACTAAAACTTATTGTCAAGACAACAGCTTGCATTCAAGTTTGAGTATGTCTCTAATACTAACGAGAATTTACGCGCAGAAAGAACGATAAAAGCGTTCGGTTGTAAATGGGCCAACAGGAATGGTTGAATAACCAGCATCTTTCAAACTTCCCATTTCCCGAGCAAACTGTTTAATTAGTAAGGCAAAGTAATATCTGCGGTACATATTTTGATCTGCTGATAAAAGATCCGGAATATGCAATCCGTCAATTAAAAATTAGACATTTCTGTCACGCTGTCTTTATTAAATTAATTATTTCGTTATCGATCTCCGCATTAAATATAATAATATCTTCCAATAGTTCAAATATGTGTCAATACTTACTTTATTGCAGCGCTCGCAGTTAATAGTAAACCTGTTCAATTCTGTTCCGTTCGTTCCGTTCCAATTTGTGCCGATCCTGATTGGCGGATTAAAAATCACATTATGGGAACAACAAATTTGCAGTTCCTATCTGTTCCCATCCTCATCCCACACACGTTTCATTAATAAGCGTAAAAAAATAAAAAGGTATGTTGCGCAAATGGGTTCTAATGGCTTTTAGAAATATATTTTTTTTGTAAAGAATAACACTTGAAATTTTGAAGTGAAAAGAAAAACAACGGAACGTGGAAACGCGAAATTTGTCCTCAATTCTCACGGATTTTTGATTGGTTGATACAATTTTGCCGTCGACCGGAACAGAACAAAATTGAACAGGCCTAGTAAGTCTTTGGTTTTAACGCATGACTATATGCATCGATACGGTTTCGTAAATACGACGGCAGTTAGTCTTTAAGTTTATATGTACGGTCTTTAAACTTTAATTTTAAGTCGAGTTTTTGTGTGTGCCCTTAAAACTGTAAGTATTCTCGTATTCCGGAGCGCAGTAGCTTGGTCAAATTTTCAACGACTATAACGATTTAAAATTCAATGCTTTTTTTTCTGCTAACCTTTTGTTTTTGGTCAAAGCGGCAAATCTTTCGCTTTTATGCAAAGTACGACTTGAATAATTTGTTTGCGTGTTCTAACAATAAATATAACATGACCAAAAATAATGTAAAAAATTTACAGATTATTCACCACAAATTTATTTAATTTGCGTTTCGCTCTTGCCAAATTAAACTTTTATCCATAGCCAGCTAATGCTATGACTGTTTAACAGCGTTAAAACCGTGGTTGTTTTTTTTTTTTAATTTCATACGGCTTAGGAAGTTTTGCTTGAGCCAAATGAGGTCGTACTTTGTTATTAACTTTGTCTTTTACATTAGAACAAATCCGTTTTTTACTAATATATTACAGTCAAAGCTTGGAAAACCGATACTCGAAAAACCGATAAATGCTAAAACCGATAATTTTTCCAATTCCCAAAACACATATAACAAAATTCGCTCGGAAAGCCGATATTTCATATAACATCGCGCAATTCCGATAACCGATATTATTTTGTCACATTCATATAAAAATTTAAGCTCGATGTAACCAATAGCAAAGCTTTATCTGTTACACAATAGCAGGTGCTCGATAACTGATATATAACCAATAGCAAAGCTTTATCTGCTACACAATATCTAATATTAATTAGCAGGACACATATCAATATTTATGTTATTGTGACAAAGCTTGGAATGCGTTACTATTACTGAAACAACTATTCACAATTGTTGGAAAACTGGTAAGATTCGCCTCTTGTTCCCCATAGTGTTAATATCAGTACGATAACACGATTGAAGACATACAGCATTGTATTACTCAGCTGAGCCGTTGTTGGCTACTGAAAATTTATTCGCAAAACCGATATTTCGGAAAACCGATAGAAAAAGACGAAAACACTGCTATCGGTTTTCCGAGCTTTGACTGTACTTTGTATTATTTATCCTAAATTACTAAAATTTAATTTAATTAATAGTAGTATAATTTAATACGACAATAAAATTTATTTTCTTGCCGGTTATAGCAATAATGTTTTTATGTCACGCACGCGATTTTATAATTATTGAAACAATTTGTAATTTTATTATGTTATATTATAATTTTAAGTTGGAAAAAAAGCAACGCAATTACATATAATTGTAAGCCAATAATGACTAGAAGCACGGCTAATAATTAAAATTTTAATACGTGCTATTATAAAATTTTCGTACAAATATATAATATAGTCCTGTTTAGCAAGCACATGGAAATTCAAAATATTATTTGCCACACAGTAATTATATAGGTTAGTTCGACTTTTATCCACTAACATTTTTTTACCAACCTTAAAATTCAATATCTCGTGACATTTTGTCGAACAAAAAATTTCTATAATTTTTTATTGACAAATTATTTTAAAAATTACTACAGTTTTATCTACTTAATTACAAATAATAATCTTTTATTTCTTCTCCAAGAAAGCCCGATTCCTTAGTCACACAAAACTGACTGGGTTTATAAAAACTAAGTTAACATGAATTAAATAAATTGCAAGTCTTGTATCAATCAGATAAGCTTAAACTACCTGTAGCTGTGTTGAATCATACAAGTTTATACGTAAAACGGCCTCGAAATTTATTGTTTGCCATATAGTTTAAGAATAAGCACTCCCCGAAAATAAAGCACCTTTTACAATTTTTCTAAGTTTTTCTGCTTTATCATATCAAAGTTGTGACCTCCAAAATAAGCATTTCTATAGTTAGAAATTATGCTTATTTACATAAAACTCGTTATATTTAACTAAGTTAACTATATGCGTTCCAACAAAATTAGTCTAGATTTGTTACATTATGTCGTAATATAGAGTAGCGACAAAGGACTAGTTTGATAAATTTACTTAAGCAGATACTGTATGTCTGCTTTATTACCGCTACCGTTTGAGTGAAGAGTTCGTCGTTGATGACTCATTCGCGTCGTATGTGTGTAATATTAAATATAGAGTGAGGACGGAGAATTGTTTGCAGTTTATGGTAGTAACCTGTATAATAAATATGATAGCATATTGCCCTTTGGGGAAAATACGCGTAATTGTTGTGAAACGATAAAAACATGTTGGTATATATTTGTATGGATAAACGAGTGTTCTGTGTTAGATGACACTTCGTAGTATCACTTGATATTGTCAATTAACAACCTCATGAAGATAAATGTTGTAATCAATACAGCAAGGATTGTGAAAACCTGCGATTGTTAACCACCATAGTAAAGCATAATTGGGATAATATATTGCTAGTCGTTGAATCGAGACAACGAATAATATTGCCGCACAATTTATTACTAGAAACGTTGCCTTTAATACCTCTCCTAATATGATCAATATTTTTAGCATCGCTTTTGACTTCACTCAGCGGATAGTCATTTAACAATGCGAATTTATTATCTTCTTTTAGTCCTTTTCTAATAAGCGTTGGTGCTGATAATTATCAATATTTCTATTTGCTTCTCTGGTTTTGAGCCAAAGGTTAAGTCTTAAATCGATTTCTGGACCGTTAGTTGCATACTCGAACCATGCCATCTTTTGTTACGTCGGCCAAGAGCTAGTGCTTAATACACCATTTCTAGTGCACATTGCGTAGTACGTAATTTTATCGAAAAATACAACATCAAAGTGAGAAAAACTTTTCAAAAGAGAGACGGTTTGTATGATAATCTGTTCGCCCATCATACGATGCGAAAAGAATTGACTAATTTTCTTTTATTTGAATAGTTATTTCCTCGATGGTGAAAGATTAGGTATTGGCATTGGATAATCTGATCAAATTACATTAGTGGTTGTATTTGATACTTGGACTGTATGAAACTCTGTGGGTACTTGGGCTTGAAGAGAACCGTTGAACAGTGTATTAAACGTTATTCTGACCAGTGACATGCTTTCCGCGAACATTATCAACAACCAGAAGTCAGTCGTGCTCAACGGGGATTCAGCAAATTTCGTGGAACTAGCGTGCGTGTCGTGAAAAATGTTGTCAATTTTGGGAACGTTCCTGCGATCATAATGATAGAAATGATGGAAGGGCGCAGACGACGGAATACAGTTGTACGCCGCCAATCATTGAGATGGTGCAATGACATTTTGTGAAGACTTGTCCAGTCCCGATACTTACATCGGCGATGAGAACTGTTCAGTATTTGTCAGCAGCGAAAATAATGATCTAAAGATACACGATCGAAATAATTATGAACACGATAATAATGAGGCGGGAGGACGATATGGATGGAAAAGCATTGGTTCAATCGATGTAAGTAGGTCAAAGGTGTTTGAAACGAAAAATAGTATCGCGCTTCAGTTTATAATGTACACATAACAACGTTGCGGGCATGTCTTTCCGCGATCTTGGCGGAAGACTGCAGATATATTGTATATCAACCATTCCTTGACTCTTCTATGATATTATACGTAATTTGCAAATTCTCCAACCTGTAATGCAATAGATAACGGAAACATAAACCATGTATCAAAAAAAAAAGACTATGTAATGACTTGACAAAAAAGTCTATACAATCGCAAACGACGAATTATAATTGGTTCCGCAGTTTATCAATATTGGCGGATGTGATGTACTAGTACTACCGTCCGTATTGAAACGGTTATTGCGATAATTGTTATCTGAAGACTATCGCGGAACTCTTTGATATAAGAAATATGCTCATAAAAGAGTTTTCCTGGTCCCAATTAAGAAGAAATTATCGATATAAGAAAGGCCATTTTTTTATTTATGATCGCTTGTAATAAGTTTGCACGCTTTTTGTTGCTGACATGCCAATAGCGAAGAAAATTCTTAATTCATGAGCATATCTTCTCATATTCATATTCCTGTCATCTTGCGATCTATCTCTCATAACAATTTTTTTGATGGCTACTGTACGGTAATCAAATACTCCGATCGGCAAACGGGAAGATTGTCTAATGATTGGTTCATTTCCAATTGTATCACATCACACAAGGATAAACGTAAATGAGCGAATTCGCATTTACTGTACAGAAAACTAAATTAAAACACTGTGACTAGTATTGAGAATAAGAAGTATATTAGTATTAGATGGACATGTCAGGAAACAACAGGGTAAGTTTGGCATTCAATAATAATAAGCTTTCACATCATGAAATGAATTAACAACTTGGAATACAACTTATTTTAATATTCTATTACTAGGAAATTGGACAGCAATTCTCTTCAGGTGCAAAAAACAAAGGGAAGGGATAATGCAGAGACTGAAGATGCATTTAATATTGAGCAAGATCTCATTGTCTTTGAAAGTGACAGTGATGATGATGATTACCATAGACAGATATTCACAACACATCTGAGCAAGATGGAATTAAATGAGCAACTATCTGCAACTTTGGAGTCAATTGTCAACAGTACTGACAGAAGCAGTCATCTTATTAAATTATCCAATCTGTTGCAATCATTTGGTAATAAGTTAGAGGGCACTCAGTTGAGAAATGTTTTGGAAACAATTGGAATTTATGTCACATATAAGGACTATGAAGTGACTGCTGATGTTGAATTGGAACTGCACCTTAGGACATATTAATATGTATTAGTTTTAGAAACATATGGCAAGTGACTTGTTAAGATGGAGACAGAGCTACTTGAAACCTTGCATAAAAATTGTATGATATCCATCAGCATTATACCAAGGTTATAGAAAAAGGCTTACAATGTTCAAAGATTTTGCTTGTTACTTCAGAGGAGAGTGTTAAAGTTCAAAATTACAACAATGATTTTTTACTTATTATTATGCAGCTTCATAACACTCTTTATTTGATGGATGATGATAAGACTGTTTGGTTTGAAATTATAAACCAACTTAAAGGTTTTTTTACTTCATTAGTTGAGGCTTTACCTGATATGACAGGTGTTATGACAACTATGGAAACTCCAATTGATAACGAATTTACTATTACTATTACAATCTATAATAACATTCAAGAAGCTCTACAATCTAAGTTCTCTGTAGGGCATTGGTATAAAGAATGGAGATATTTATATACTATTTATCAAGCATTTGTTGAATGGTCAGCTGCTCCAATTAATAGAAATTTGGTTGCTAAAGGGGAATTATAATTAATCATTATTAAGGATCTGTGGAGATTTGGAGACCAAGAGTGGAATAAAGCAATTTTAGCAAAATCTGGAATGAATAGAAGAATTATGTCAGATTATATTTCAGGATCAGTTTCATATACATTATTGTTTGGTATACTAATACTGGATATTGTTCAAAATTTGATAATATCTACAAAAAGTCTAATACATTGGCTCACTGTTACTATCTTGCAAAACTAGCTCTGGACATTGTGAGGATGGAATTTATTCAGTTTAAAGCGATGGAAGTTTTGGTGATGCTGCATAAAAAAGATTCAACCACATTTTCTGTTGTGCAAATTGATCTAGACCAACACATTGAAAAATTTTCAACTTTAAACCAAGATAAAAAAAGGCTTCAAGACATAAGAAGATATATTGATGAAAAATATACTTATGTTAATCAAGCAAGTGGCAGAACAAATATTGGAATGCCAATCTTCAAACAAAAAGCACATAAACCCAATCAGCCATCTGATACTGAAGAACTTCTTGACTCAAATCCAAATGATTTATTAATTTTAGACATAATTGCTGACCATCTTACATGTCAATTCACACAAGAAGTTACTGATGATTTAGAATACTTCCATGCAAACATAAAATCAGCCATTTGGTATTAGAGACATTTATGAGAATGAACTGCCTTGAACTGAAATGTTTTTATTGTAGAAGAAAATGTCAATTAGATAAAACTGAAAAATTGCCAAGCTCACCAATTATGAAAAATTTGTCAAAGCAGGACATATTGCACCAAGTACAAAAGGCAAATCAAAAGGCTTTACAGCTATTACTATTGTGGCAAGTCAGGATGGTGATGATGATGATGTTGAGGAGGCTTCTATTATTAAATCCAAGTTTTTGTATATGCTTCAAATGAGACCAAAGCAAAGTATTCTACAATTATTGAGGATGCCATTAAGTCTGCATAACACTTACAAGCAAGGCAAGAAAGCTCTTGATGAAAAAAGATATGATGATGCAGTATTATGGCTTGAAAGGGCACTCATTGATTATCCTGACAATTCAACTATTCAAATTGACCTTGCTGTTGCATGTATGGAAAATTTAAATTATAAAAAATGTTATGATTACATAACAATGCCAGAGCATGGGCTTGGTGTGGAAAATATTATATGCAACAATCAGAGTACAAACAAGCTCTTAAAGATCTTAAACAATCATTAAAAATTGATGCAAATGATACACTTGCATTAGAAGTCAGGGGTAATGTCTATTACATTCTTACCTGGTATGAGTTGGCATTGGCTGAGTTCAATCAACTATTGGATATTAAACCAAATGATACAAACACACTGATTGCAAGGGGAGCTGTCTATTTTAATATTTGTCTGTATGCAGATGCATTAGAAGACCTTAATAGAGCATTACAAATTAAACCAACTGATACAATAGCACGACATCTAAGGGGGCATGTTTATCTCATGCTTGAGCAATATGACTATGCATTAAATGATCTTGATGACTCACTGGGAATAGATCCAAGCAATATGTTTATCCTAATGGAGAAGGGAATTATCAGACATGTTAATCAATATGGTAATGCATTGGAGAATTTGGATAAATTTTTAAATGTCAATCCAGATCATATACTTGCATTAAAAGTAAGAGGGAAGATTTATTATGGACTCAAACAATATAGTAGTGCATTAAATGATTTCAACAAGTCATTAGAAGTCCAATCAAAGAGAAATGTAGACACACTAATACTAAATATGAGAGTAGCTATCTATCTTGATCTTTGTCAATATAACAAAGCACTAGATGACATTTGCAGGTCATTTAACATCAAACTAAATGAAACTCTTCACAAACAATTATTATCTTTGTTTGGTCAATTGGAAACACAAAATCAACACTTATTATTAGATTTTACAGAACATCAAATACAACATGCTGGTGCCATTATTTTAGCAAAAATTTTAAACTCAATTTCCTCTCTGACTTCATTGAATCTGAATTCTAATCAAATTGGAACTGCAGGAGCAACAGCTTTGGCAAAGGCTTTACAATCAAATTCCTCTCTAACTTCTTTGGATCTCTATGCTAATCAAATTGGAGCTACAGGAGCAACAGCTTTAGCAAAGGCTCTAGAATCAAATTCCTTTCTGACTTCATTGAATCTTAGAGGTAATGAAATTGGAGCTACAGGAGCAACAGCTTTGGCAAAGGCTCTAGAATCAAATTCCTCTCTGACTTCATTGAATCTTAGAGGTAATGAAATTGGAGATACAGGAGCAACAGCTTTAGCAAAGGCTCTAGAATCAAATTCCTCTCTGACTTCATTGAATTTTAGAGGTAATGAAATTGGAGCTACAGGAGCAACAGCTTTGGCAAAGGCTTTACAATCAAATTCCTCTCTGACTTCATTGGATCTGGATTCTAATCAAATTGGAGATACAGGAGCAACAGCTTTGGCAAAAGCTCTAGAATCAAATTCCTCTCTGACTTCTTTGGATCTTTACTGGAATGAAATTGGAACTGCAGGAGCAACAGCTTTGGCAAAGGCTCTAGAATCAAATTCTTCTCTGACTTCATTGAATCTGAATTGTAATCAAATTGGAGCTACAGGAGCAACAGCTTTGGCAAAAGCTCTAGAATCAAATTCCTCTCTGACTTCATTGACTCTCCAAAGGAATCAAATTGGAGCTACAGGAGCAACAGCTTTGGCAAAGGCTCTAGAATCAAATTCCTCTCTGACTTCATTGACTCTCCAAAAGAATCAAATTGGAACTACAGGAGCAACAGCTTTGGCAAAGGCTCTAGAATCAAATTCCTTTCTGACTTTTTTGGATCTTTACCAGAATGAAATTGGAACTGCAGGAGCAACAGCTTTGGTAAAGACTTTACTATCAAATTCCTCTCTGACTTCATTGACTCTCCAAAAGAATCAAATTGGAGCTACAGGAGCAACAGCTTTAGCAAAGGCTCAAGAATCAAATTCCACTCAGATTCTTAAATATAAATTCTAAAATTAGGGTTTGATTTTATCAGAAGAAGATAATTATTCTCATAATTACTAAAATAGTCAAAAGTTGATGATCTTTTTGTCAATTTAGAAAACTACTAGTTAGTTTTGAGAATTTTTTATCTAATTCTGTCATTAGGATTAAGCAATAAAAAAATGATGCCTTGTCCTATACTAAAAGAAAAAGAGGAATTTATTGATGATTGAATTATGGTTAGTTACAGTTGCACCTTAATATAGTAATAGTCACTCCTTATATAATCACATTCTAATTAACTAAGCCTATTGAGTGACTCTACAAAGGAACTCAATTTTCATATCCTGATGCTGTGACTATATCAAGCTGCAAAGACAACACTGTTGTATTTTCATCTCAATAAGATAGTGATTGTTGTTATCACTACATTCATTTTGATGATTATTCATTGGATATGAGTTGCAGTTGTTCCACATTCTTTCAGGTTATTTCTATAAATATAAATGAAGACCATGTATTATTATGAATAAGAATGGTGTATTTCCCCAAAAATGTAATAGTTCAAAAGTTTTCAATCAAATGAATATTAAATGTATGTATTGTAATTTAACTATTGAATAACATTTTCCATCATTGACTTTATCATTGAAGTTCGACATAAGTGAAAACACAATGGTTTTAAACCTCACATATATTGTTTATTATAGTTGTAATTTTGTTTTTATTAAAAAAAGTCATGCTATGTTGATTATACGTATCATTCGTTTCAATAAGTGGTGAAAAAAGACATGTAGACAGCACGATACAGTTGAACGATAGACGTGTGTTAAAACACATTCAACTTGAATACAGGTTTAGCCATTACTTGTAGACTTTGAATATGAATGAACGAGCGACTACTCATGTCAAGGCTGTAAACCTGAAACTAATTCTGCTCATCTTACCATTTCAGAAAGCGCACAAATCGTTAGGCAAGACGAGACTATAATACTCTTTTAAATATTACAGTCTATGGTAAAGTACTGTTCTCAACGTCAAAAATACTGTAATATTTTTGATACTACATATGTTACGGTCGACGTCCAAATTTGTGTTGGGAGAGCAATTAAATTGCGTAGGTGTGTTTTGCCGAGAGGGAGTCTTCACAATTTAGCTCGTGTCGCTGCCCTTACTACAACGATTGCTCACTTAAGGCTGAACTAACTGATAAGTGACAATAAATATTTATGTGCGCGCTTCGCTTTTTACTCCCTATACGATGTATTTTCCTATACTCGTGTCTAAATAAGATACCTACGTTAGAATAACAACAACAATTAAACTATCGCAGAATCGAAGGGGAAAATTTAATACTATTTCTAAATAACGCAGACTTCGATTTAGTGTTTCGACTAGTCGGGAAATGTCACTTTTCCTAATTAAACAACAATTGATTAAACTTATCGTTCGAGAATCTCTAGTCTTTTGTCGCAACTACGGGTCGGAACCGATCTATTGCGTTGACAGCACAGCTACGGGTAGAACTGATCTACTGCAGATAGTTTAGAGCGTCAAAACTAGTATTAGAAATAAAATTTAATGATAAATAAAAGAGTTTCGTAATAATTTAAAGGATAATGATCAGATCGATCGTTTATTATATCCAAATACTTCAGTATCGAATATTATTTTATAACATCAATGAACATATAACGTGAGGATTTTAGACGATCGGGAAGGGCTCCTTATATACATTTTTCACCAAAATCGCGTTACTTGTTACACCTATCACCAATTTTCCGTTACCCTAACCCTTAAACACATAGATTAAGATTGGCTCAGAGATAATGTTTAGAATATGAATTACTTTATCACTCGACCCGGTTATGCTCTTTCCGAAGCATTATATTTTCGAGAATATTCTGCATAGACTGTTATGAATCAAATACAAAGATATTAATCACGGAACACGTAAACGGATTGGTAAGACAAAACTCCTATAATTTGTCAGCTAGCAAAATTTTATGATAAAGCTTTCACCGGACAGAGGTTGCGTTTATAATTAATTTCTAACTATTACGGTCATTTAAATGTAATGAAGATACACTTTACAAACAGGTGTGTTAAACTTTTGTCAAAAATACAATCAATGAACTTTAAGAGATTGACAACTTTGTATCCATTTCAATATTGAAATTGAACGATTTCTCTACTTAATGACTTCCGACTCATCAAACTATCACAAAGTATTAAGTATTTTTTGTTCGTAATGCAAACTCGAATCATTTAATTTATCGACTATATAGAACCATAACCGAATATCACGTGAGACGGGTTATGAAGAGTAATTTACCGTAATAATTTAGTCATGTAAACATAACGTTTTCCTGAGAAATTGATGTATGTTTGCGAAAATTATTTTTTGTGGCTATATGAAACCATCCCGAACCTCGAGAACAAATTTTCAAATTTATCGGAAGAAAATCCAGACATCTAAAATTTACATATGGAAAATACGGAGCCAATTTTTACGTTGCAATTCAAAGCTGGAGAATTATGTTCTAGAAAAATGTTAACAAAAAGTTTTCTATCAAAGATTTTGTTACAGTCCATTGAGTTATTTATTTAATTCGGGAAGTTTGTCTAAAATTCGTTTCTACAACAGGTACGTACGAATATTAAGATGGCTACTTGTATGTTGCCGCGACGTATTTTCGCTCTTGTTCGCATGCATAATTAAAAGGTACACTTTCCTCTCCATCTTGTGTCGAACAAACTGCTAGTTATGCATGAATTGAATCGTTTTGTAATTCCTATCGTTAGCATGCGAAATGACAATTGGAGCCGAACAATATTTACGGATAAGACAGCCTTTCGAAACAACATTTGTCGATGGCACAAAACTGGCGACAATGGCGTGGGCCGGGAACGGGAAAAATCAAAATGGAGTACTTATCCGCCGCTTTTACCGTGATCTGCATAACCGGCGATAGTAATAGTAATAGTAATAGTAATAGTAAGTTCGGAATTTTTTGAGAGGACCGTCCAAAAATACATGTTTATTATTGGAGATTTGCGTTCTTTATTATCTACATGTACTTGAGAACACGTTCATTACTCAAAAATTGTATACTTACCTGAAATTTATCCCAAATAACCGTTATGTTAATCCGAAAAGGCAATATAACAAAATAACGCGGGAAAAGCGGCGGATAAATACTCGATTATGGAAAAACTTCCTTGTTTGTTTCAACCCAATTGAAAAATAACGTCGAAAAGCGAATGCTTCAAAATACAAATGTAATAAATGAGACTTATGATTGAGGAATGGGCATGCGATTCCTCAGGAAATTTAGTCTCTCTATTATTACTATTACTATGCAAAGCAGATGCGAGGCTGTTTTATTTCATGATGGCAATAGAATCTCATACCGAAAATTTGCTGTTAAATAAAATAATAGACTTTCACACTGTATACCTGGTGATTTTCATGATGAACAAGTTTCTTGCATAATCTCTTGCCTATTGTTTGCGATATATTGCTCTTGTACGAGTTAAGGCTGGCCCTTTCTTTTATTCATTTATCTTACTTTATTGATCTGATTTTATTTTATGATTGACATATGGCATTGCAAAGCATATAGTGAATAAAGCATTGAGTAAAAACTTTTTTTAAAGTAAAAACCCTGTCCAAATAAACAGGGAAAAGATGATGAATATTTACAATTACAATATACAAGCGGTGAGACCACCTAGAATAGTCCATCTGCGAAGAAAGAAAAAAGAAACTATTGACTAATCACCATACACGTTCTAATGTTCTGATAGAATACAATCATCCAACGGATAATTAAACGTCAGCCAACAACATCAGTATTACATCCCAAAAGATTATGTACGTGCTTCATCTGAACGCTCAGATCGCTCGAGTTTATCATAAAGCGTGATGAGTTTCGTGGGCGCTATTTGAGCAGGCCAGAAATAAGTGACAAATGTCCACAAGTATCTACGCCAACGAGTTTTCTCTGCGTCTGAACGTTTCTCATTAAGAATTTCTCCAATACGGGCACCTATAGTTCGAACGCACTCTTTAAGTAATCGCGCCTTTTCTTTGCCCGTATAGCGAACCGAATCCTGGATAAGAAATAGATATTGAGCCATTGGTTGTATAAACGCCGCCACAAACGTAACGACTATATACATACCTTCTTCAACTTTTGCAAATACTTTCTAACTGGTCTTAAAAGTTCTTTACACGTCTTCTCCTGTTCCTCATCCAAGTCTTCAAATTCATCGTCAGAAGATTCTACCACTTCAACAGATGCTTTGGGTTTCTTTCGAGATGATGGCGAACCTTCGTCTGGAATATTCGATTTTCGCTTTGATGCTTTCGTCGTAACATTGTCCGGAGGAGTGGCTGATGCTTCTTGTGAAGCTATGCGTATCTTTATCCTTCGGCTCTGAAAGATAGAAGAAGAATACATTAGATTGACACGTTCATCGGGACATTGTCCACGCAAGTCTTGTGAGATAATACGCACTTTTTTCGGTGTATGTTCTTCTGACGGTGCTTCACGCAAGACTTTCATTAGATACTCTGCCCTTCTTACAACTTTTGCCGTCTGTTTAGCTGACGTGTTTTCTTCTTCGGTCTCTTCCTCGCTAAGTTTTTTCGCAAGACCAAGAGAGGCGTCTTCCCGTATAGCTCGCCAACTGCCAAATCCATGTTTATATATACCAGCCATTAGCATCGCATCTTCTTTCTGGCCCCAGTCACAGTGCCAATTATTGACAGGCTTTAATGGAACGTTGAAACGGAATTTCTCGAGATTTGGCACTTCTGCAAATGACATTATACGGAGGCGTTAACGACAATCGAGTTCTGGTTGATTAAAAGAAAAAACAAAACTACTTACTACTAAGCTTCTCATAGAGAACATTAAGATCGCCAACACGTTGTATTAACAATCCGGCATTTATCTTTTCAACATTATTGTATGAGGTATGGATAGCTTTTGCTCGAGCATTAGTTCCGCCATTAACGGAATCATGATCACGGACAGCCTTTTCCGCTGCAGCGTATATCTCGTCGTATACCTGTAACACTAATTCACGTTCTTTGTCTTGCAAATCTGCGTCTCGAACTACATCGTCATATCGCTGATGAGGATTACCAAATTTCAAAATACCGCGTATTAAGGCACGGATTTCCTTTTGCGTCAATTCAGGTGAAGCTGATTTCTTTCTCCCAGAAACCTACGAGATAGAATGCACAATCATTTATAACGTTTGGAGAGAAAATAAAAACCATAATCGTCTGCGTATCGACAATTTCGAAACTGCTTTATACCTTTTGTTTCTTGACACCCTTTCGGCTGTGCGTCTTCTCCTTGGCTGCACGTTTTAACCCGCCCTTATTTTCATATTCTTCGTTCTCTACGACCGGTTTCGCTTCAGGTATTAAGGATTCTCCATTAGCCATCTTCTTCCTTTCCTCTTCTGGAATTATCTCCTCCCATGACATATCTGTACCACCATAGTCTGCCACTTGAAACTGCTTCAGAAACTCTTCCCCGCCAAAACTCGAACTGACTCCATCTCCCACTGTATCATGCGTCTCGGCACGAGCGAGGATGTCATCGAGGTCCATGTCATCTAATTTCTTTTGGCCTTCGGTCTCTTTGAACATATTTTGAGCTCCGAATTTGAGGATGGCGCTCAAATCTTCTCGACTAAAATTGTCGGGCTTTGACGAGGTAGCTTTATCTTTCTTTTGTAAAAGAGATTGGCCTGAAGTGTCCATTTGCTTGATGATACAGTATTCGAGAACCATCTTGCGTTTTGCACGTTCGAGGATACTTTCTTCGATTGTATCTTTTGTAAGAAAGCGATATACGTTTACGTGATTTTTTTGACCGATACGATGTGCCCGAGCCATTGCCTGCAAATCATTTTGCGGATTCTGTACGCATAAACGTATTCATAAAAAAAGAAAGTTTAGCACATTTACAGCAATAAATAAATAAACATTGAAAGCTGTATACTAACCCAATCAGAATCAAATATAATCACAGTGTCTGCCGTATTCAAATTAATTCCAAGACCTCCTGCCCTTGTTGACAACAAAAATATAAAGTCAGGAGATCCTGGAGCATTGAAATGCTCAATAGCCTTCTTACGCGCCTCTGACCCGATTCCCCCATCAAGGCGTTGATGAGGGTAGCCACGAAGACGAAGATAGTCTGTTAAAATGTCCAACATTCGAACCATCTGAGAAAATATGAGTACTCTATGATTAGATTCCCGCAGTCTCTTCAGTAGTTTGTCTAACAAGACCATCTTTCCACTGTTCATGATCAGACCACGCAGTTGTTCTTCACGACTAGTTGTCCAACTCTCGGCATTGGGAAACAAATAAGGGTGGTTACTGGCTTTCTTTAGTTCCACTGCAATATTAAGCAGACTCATCTGAGACGAGCCTCTGACACCGTCATTTAGAACATTAAAGTTCTTTGTGAGAATGTGCTTGTAATAGTGCATCTGCAGTGGTGCCAACTCGACTCGAAGTATGCGCTCCGTTTTCTGGGGAAGAGATTTCTCAACGTCCTTTTTCAACCGTCGCAACATGTAAGGCTCAAGACTCTTGTGCAACTCTCTGATCTTGGCTTCCTGTTCCTCATCAGGAGCTCCGAGATCAATGTCAGATGGTAACTGGAAATCAGGCATTAAAAAGTTTACTAACGAACAAAGTTCTTTTACGGAATTTTGTAAAGGTGTTCCTGTTATCAATAGCCGGTTTACTGTATGAAACTCTGACAATACTTCATGTAGTTGTGATTCACTGTTTTTTAGTCTGTGCGCTTCATCGACGGCAAGGTATTGCCATTTTATCGATCCAAGCTCTTGTCGATCTTTCAGGATAAATTCGTAGGTAGTTATTAAAACGTTAAACTTTGGACGTTTCGGCGAAGATTGGAGATAAAACTCGTATTCCCGAATGACCTCGCGACTAGCCGATGAACCAATGTACACTATAACATTCAAATCTGGAGCCCACGTTTGAAATTCTTGCTGCCATGACGCTATTGTGGATAGCGGAACGACAACAAGAAACGGACCGTATTGGTTATGTGTGTGGAGGAGGTAGGAGAGAAAGGAGATTGTTTGTATGGTTTTACCAAGACCCATCTGTTTTAATGAAGAATTGAGGAGAGCATTTCGAATAAATATCGGGTAAAAGGGTCTGAGAAAGCAACAGTATCATGTACAGAAACAAATACAAACCTCATCCGCAAGTATTCCATTTTCGTTCTTTGACCAAAGATGAGCCAGCCAATTCAAACCAGTCAATTGAAAATCTCTCAATTCTCCGCCGACGATGTACGGTGGTTGTTCTGTTATTCGTTTGAACGTGGGTCTCTTCTGAGTATGAGGTTTACTTTTGTGTGGCAGACGCTGACTATTATTCCTATCCAAAAACGCATCGATTTCAGCTTGAAAGTCCCTCTGAATTAATTCCGCGCTCTCCCACGTGCAGTCACTATACGGCAACCGCTTCCATTTACATAGATACTCGTAATTCCTGCCCGTTGTACTCCCTCCAGGGGACGATACCCTCGTGGCTATTATCCTCTCAATAGTCTTATAGTCCTTCAATGTGTCACGAGCCATCTCCCGACGTACATTACATGTTTCAACGTCCTCCGCGTTTGTTGTCTCTTGCAACATTTTTTGTTCCATTAGGTGATTCTTGATATAATTTTCTAGCTTTTTAAAGCCTTTGAAGGTGCGGAGGTTGTTGTATGTGTCCCATGTGTCGTGAAGGTGTGACCAGCCTTTCCATTTTATAAGAAACTCCATATTCGTCTTGGGGTCATCCGACTCGACCGGGTCAGAGACTTCCTTACGGCGTATATCGTGTATACTTTCTATGGCGTCTCCCTCTTCTGATAATGTTATGGTTTGGGATTGTTAGTAGATGACGCAAAGGTAATCCATCACGTTTAACATAAACCTTGGTAGTACAAGCCAAGCATGATTAATGATTAAATAATGATCTATGAACTAGTGTACTGAGTAACAAATCTTTCGCTTTAACTAAACATACATTCTGCATCATAATCATTCTTCATCATGACATATACAATGTAATATTTACCCTCTTGTGCCGCATCGTATGCGCCATCTATTTCGTCATCTGACTCGACCAATTCTTTTAGTTGCTTGTCTAAAAGATCTTCATTATAGCTTTTTACAGTACGCGCACGCCGAGAATACCGCTCGTGTTGGTAATAGTTTTCTATGTTATATACGCGACGACTGTTCTTCTTTGTATTTGTTCCCCAATCGTCGTCCCCAGTTACGACAGTCTTGTGCTTTTTGGGTCTTTTCTGTAATGTATTCTCCTCGGCATCTTCGTCTAACGAGGAGGAAAGGTCGTCGGAAGGATGAGAGTCAGATGCCTCACCGTCAGGAAACCAAGTCATCTCTTTTCCTGTCGTTAGTGAATCGCGCGGAGAGTGTGTGATGAAATGGAGAGAAGGGTATTGAGCGAAAGGTTGATGAAATGGAGAGAAGGGTATTGAGTGAAAGGTTGAGTAAAAGGAGGTAGTAATTGGGAGTAAAGGAAAGGAAAGCAAAGGTTGGAATGAAATGGGGTATGGATGTAGAGATGAATGGATGAAATGGACAAAAAAAAAGGTGTGATAAGTATGTTGTCCGAAATCATAAGTCAAAATGTTTGTCAGGACCAATACTGACTATGCTTCTTTCGCGTCCTCAGGATGGAATTGCGATCTATAGAGTTTCTCGTCGAGTTTGATTCTTCCCCATCTGATGAAGATAACTGTGTGTCGAGACAGATCAATGGATGAAGGAAACTGTCGTTGAGTGTGTTTTCATACGATAAAATGTTTAGAAACATCAATAAACATGATGAAATCATTTTTATTAATCATTACTCTGTAATTTATTCGATTTGGTTTACTTCGGGCAGACCTCCGTAGGCCGTATAATTCTGGGTCCAGTTCGTAAATGTCTCCTGGACCTAAACGGTAGATTTGTTGAAAATTCATAAGCGAGATATTAAAGCTGGTTAGCATAAATATGTAAGAGTTTGGAAGCTTTTATTCTATACAAGTGGAACTACGCATTCGTGAAATATTGCCAAGTTGTGACAGTGAATAGGTAACAGTGGAATAGAGTGGTAGGCAAGCTATCGTTAATAACAAGTAATTTTCTCTTACAGTTGTTATTTATTAATATATAAATGTTTATCGAGCAAAATAGTATATTCTCAGTGCAAAACAGACGGGTTTTTATATGGTTCTGACAGAGTAATCGCAGTTTGAAGTGATCATGAGAGTGAGGGAGAAGAGTAACAAGCGAGATGATCGATGGTAACCGGGAGGTAAAAATAGGCGCAGACACTAGTATGGGGACGTTTTACGTCGTTTGGAGAGTAGCTATAAGTGTTCTGAACGGTTTCTGTAGCTAGAAGTACTCACCCGCCATCCTTCTTTTTTGTATTGCGTTGTTGGTTTGCGGAAGTGTAAGTACCGGCTGCGAAATATAATAATATATGTACTATAAAATGAATAGCTTATAGTTATCGTGGTGTGTGGTGTGAGTAGAGTTCAAAAAAGAAATTTAGGGGTGTGGATCCGAATTTATTTGGATAATTTTGGGGGGTCATTGTTTATAATGATTTAGGAACTGTGGGGTGTTTGATGGTAAAAGTTGTCATGATCAAAATCGATAAAAGGTTCATTGATTGGGCGAAGAGGAGCCCTCGTCAGTATTTTAGTCTCGTGGAAAGCGAAAAGATGGGTTTTTCTTAAGACTTTTTTGCAATCTGCTATGCTTCGACTTACCATATTCAACGAGAATGTAAAAATTTTTTATTAATAATCAACAATGATTATAATGTTTAAATTGTTCAGAAAAGTATGTGTAAAGTAGCATATTGCAAGTGCGTTGATGGGCGAGGTTTCCACTGTTCGCTCTGTTTCATACGAATCTGTGAAATGACAATAGCCAGTTTCTCTACCATGATTTAGCCATCCGTCCAATTAGAACACAGCGTGTCAATTTGTAATTCGTAACAAAAGAGGGTCCAACGACAATGATGACCCCTCAATGCTCACGGGTAAGGGGCTGTTTATTATTCACGTGAGAATCTCATCCCTAAACTTCAGTCATGTCCACCAATAACAACTAGTATTTCCATATAAGATTTGGGGGTATCAACAACAAATGTTGCCAAATATGGGACGATTGGGCGTTCACTGGCTAAATTCTATATACGGTAGGTGTGTTGTGAAGAACTGTACTGTAATATATATTAATATTAATATGCATTAAACTAAGTGGCGTTTAATTTCCTTTGTTGGAATAAATATTAATATGGTGTATTATAGTTTAAGAGTTAATTGTTTTCCGATTTGAATTTGCTTCAACACTTGAATAAGCTTGAGGAATTGGCCACGCGCTTAACGCAGAGTCGTCTGACAAGCGTTTGTCTCTATCTGGTTTGACATGGTGTCGTTTTATTATGTATTCACAAGTTTTGGTAATAAAACTAATTTAGAAAAGCAAATGTTGATTACCAGGGTGTTACCTAAAGTTTTGAGGTTTTTATTTGGTTAAATCGCAATCTGATATTTCGATTTTTCGTCGTCGGTTTCTCAAGAGTACACCTCATTTGACTGAGAGATAGCAGCTTTTCTCTTGACCCATCCGTTTGATTAGATCGATTAGTTGCAAAGTGTTACTATTGCTTTTGTTGCTGTGCTACAATAATCCAACACTCTTATAGCTTAAAAATGGTTCATGCGGTTACCGTATTGCTATAAACAACAATAATACAGCTAATGCCGAGTAAAGCCTGTTTGGTAACAAAAAAAGATCTAATCAATTATACAGTGCAACAAAAAGACCCCGAATTAAAATGTGCCTGGACAACTGCGTAAAATTGGTTTATCCCGTATGTTGTCTCAATGGGGAAATTGTGCTTTGAAACAAATAACATTTTGTTTATATTGTTCGACTTCTCCTGCTCCTTCCAGGGCTGAAATACTCTTACCCACTTGGTAAATTTCTCACTTGCACATTCCATTAAATCTGTGCAAAGTTTGTCATAAATGTCGACGATCAATGCCCCATTTCGTCTGTTTTCCCCTGAATAAATAGAGTAATATAAAGATTGACAAAACTATGTGGTGTCCTGACATGAATTACACAATAGCAATTATGGGAATAGATATAACTAATCGCAAATCAATCACACAAAATGCTTCTTATTCTTCAAATCGAACGTAATTATTCGCTATAAAAAAGATGCGATGCAGAATGTACGTAGAACCAATAAAATCATTGTACAATCGTAATTCTAGTAATTTCAATGATTATAGAAATATCCTAAATTTAAATAAGATTATGGCTCTTATTATTACATTTGAAAACGAAAAACCAGGGAAGGATTACAATAACGATGAACCAGAAAAGACAGGTCGATATACTTGTGATGATTAAAAAAAAAGATGTGAAACTAACTTTCTCTCAATGAATTAGAGAATGTAATTGTTCGGAGAACTGACAAAACATTCATCCTTCCTTCACCCCTAGTTACTAATCAGACTACGAATATAAGTTAAAATATTCCAATAATTTATCCGACTTGATAACAAAAATCGCGTTCGATAATCATAAATAATGATTTCAAACCCAACACACATCATCGTATCGGCTTGCTTTCGTTCGCCAGATTCAATGTCGATGGTAATTGATATTATTCGATTCACATATGAAGAACGTTGTATGTATCACTGTCATACAAAAAATCGTATAACACATCCGACCGAATAACGTTTATTGTCATTTGCAAAAGGTCTGCACAACAGCTGTCGTTTATAAAAAATAGTATGCATTATGCTAAATTATCTTCAACGACTCGCAAAACAATAAGAAATAAACTATTCATGAAGATAATTGTAACATTCGATAAAGCGTACGTACAGTATATTATTGACAAATTATGAACATTTGTATAATTGTTTGATAACCCATCAGGCAATAGACAGTACATGACGACGGTAATCGCTTATATCTGCAGATCTGTTCCGTATTAGATCGACTAGTTGGCTGTATGCACTTCTTGAGCCCATGTTGTCAAGTCTTAAATAGCATAAATTGAGTGAATTTTGCAGCCTCACCAATAGAAGATTTAGCTAACGTATTTAGTAACTCAATGCGTTTTTTTTACAATGATATGCCGAGCGTAAAATTGTCTCGCACCAATAAAAAGGATTATCACTAGCGCATTTAGTAACGCAAGCAGTCTTTCACAATGTATGCCGAGCCACGTTTGTCACGCCATTTTAATGCTATCGTATTTTTATTCAATTGCGTTAATAGAAAAATTATTGCTTTGCATAGATTGTTATGGTCCGCAATGGTTTATACGTTACGTAGGCGTGTTGCGAACATGGGATGTCTACTGAATTTAGGCCGCACCACCACCTTTACTTTGATGGTTGCGTCAATTAAAAGTCTGAGCGATTTAACCATTACTAGCGCACGTGCGATCTTCATATCTTAATATAGAGATCATCCGACTCTCTTGATTTAGGCAAGTAACTTTATAAAACCTGTCTTAAATATACTCATTCTCTCGAAAGGAAATATAAACTTCATCTTCGTGGCCATCGTTATTAATCACTAATAACTCAACAATGAAGAATTCTATGCTTATAAATTTACACTTTCTACTTGTATGTAAATTTGACACGATACCTTTTTAATCCACGAAAAGCTACACAGTGCGTTATATATCAAATTCTTAGTCAATCGAGAAATGATGTAATTTCCTAACTACTTATGTACGCATGTAACAGATTATGGTCCGACATTGTGAATATACTTTGAATTAGTTAGTGGTAAATTTTTTAGATAGCATTAAAACATATCATTGTAAGAGACCATTTTGAGTCACTAAATACATCAGCTACAATTCTGCTATTGGTGAGGATGCAAAATTTACTCGATTAATGCTATTTAAGACGTATTAACATGAGTTTAAGCTTAATACTAATTCCAAGTGCGTTTGTCAACTAATCACGTTAAGTCAGTTGGCTGTCCACCCAATATTATCCAATCTTTGTCTCATACTGAATGAGGCGGAACTAATGGCCGTGCAGGTAGATTGTCATCAGCTGGTGCGGTCTTCGAATGGTCTGGTAACATCGATAGCGCGTATTTGATTATTAGTCATGCGTTAATAGCATGAAGATTTGCTACGCCAGTATTTGCTGTAATGCTTTCATACTAATCTTTCGCATCGTCTTCAAGGCAATTTTCAAAATTCTCATTCGTATATTATGTCCCGCACCTGGATCATAATTAGTGCATTCACATCACCGGCAAAAATTTCTAATAAAAATCTTCTGGATCTGTTAATCCTCGCGAAACTTTCATATCCCGCCATGTTTCGATTATTATTTTGATTATATTATTTTGTAAATCTAAAATTTTCTGATTTAAAACAATTATATATCTTTTAATTCAAATTAGCATCGCAAATTAATCTTGCTCTCAGTTTCCACTTGTTATATTTGTTGTGTTTAGCTTCCATTTTGCATATTTCCCATATAGTCTTGTACGGCCGAGGAGAGTGAAATTTTTAGATAATAGCACTACACATCGGGTTTTATTTTTATCAAATCGACTCTCCAGAAAACATGCAATAACATTTCATCTCTATATTTTTCTTCATATACACCCGTATATTTGCATTGGTTCTCCACAATGCCCGATGATCGAGCGTAGCTTTATTCGCTCTTTCTATTTCTTGTGCCAGCCGTTGATTTAGTTTGCAATCGTATTTTGATATCGTCGAATTGTAGATGTGACATTATTACGTAAGCCCCGTAATTGTCTTCTAAATTATTTATTACATCCTGGGGTTGATTATCATTAATGCATTCAAGGCTCGTCAAATGATGTTTTCTTCCAGTTAATGTAGAAAAGTGTTCCCTGATCAATTGGCATAGACTTTCAAAACTATTAAGAGTATTATCATGGATTCTCATTTCTCTTTGATTAGGTAATAATTTTTTGCGCCATGTTAATTCGTTAATTTTTTTTCTCAAGACCGGTAATTTTCTCTTCGTACTCAACTAATTGATTATTTTTGCTGTCAATAACCGTTTCGCTTGCTTTAATTTCCTTGAGAGCTGATCGCAATTGTTTACGCAGATTCGACCGACATTCGATTTTTTAAACCATCAATAGATTAGAGATAGTAGAATTCTGTCGAGTCAACTCTCGGTCACATTTTTCTAGGTCTCGCATAAGCTGGTAAATTTTCTTCTCATTGGTACGATTAATTTTTATCTCGCGATTTAATTCATTCCGTAGCTCTATATTTGTTTCCGCAAGTTGTATAAATGCCGGGTCTATGGCTTTTCTTTGTAAGAACGCGCGTTTGTTTTTCCATTGTATATTTACGAGAAAAATGTCACTGGAGTGGCATAGAAAATCAGAGACATGCAATCGATCCACAATGATTTATGGTTATCAACTTTTAATTTGCACATGTTATATTAGTAAATTCACTTTAACAGGCGTTCAGCAAAAGACGTCCGTCAAATTACTCAAATCTTGTCATGTTTTATTGAAAAAAATGGGTTGAAAAAATGAAGTATTTTATGAGTACAAATATTATTTCCTATCGCCATTGTTCTGTAAAATAATTTACATATCCATCTATGGAAAATAAATAAAAAAGTACCCAGTCTGTCTGGAAAAAACTAAATTCGAAACCCTTCTATAATTAAAAATATTCCCTCAACTTCCTAAAAATATGTTTTGCAGCTAACTGGAAAAAAAAACTTGGATTACTGGCAGGAAATAATAGAATAATTTCATTGATACTTTGCTCTTTCCTCCTCCCAATATTACGGGGGGTAATTTACATCCTAAATTCAATTTCCTTTCGACACAATTTACAGAATAGTGTCCGACTATTTATTCAATAGAAAATAATACAACAAACTGCAAAATCTCTCACGTTAACGTAATGATTAAGTAACTACCAATGCTTAATCGCAAGATAACACTATACCAACACGACTCACTGTGTTTGTATAAAAAAGAGCGAGAGCTACAACTTAACGAGTCTACTTATCGGAATCGGATCTTATTCATTGCAGTATTGAAGACGATGTTGGAATCACGGATACGCGAATACAAAATGTAAATACAATAATTTATTATTTGCTACTTACAATCATAATGTTGCCATAAGGTCATGCTTAACATGACAACTCTATCATACAACTCCCCCTATTAAAAATCAACCAAACTAATTTACTTATTCCTTACCTTCAGACCAGACATACTCCTCTGTACGTTTATATCCATATTTAGCCACAAATTCATGAACTCCATCAGGACCGCGAGATCCGTACGGATATGGGATGGGAGCCACCTTTTTCTTTTCGATAGTGTGTAACAAAGGTGTAAAAATCTTCCAAGCAGCGTCTAATTCGTCATTACGTACAAAGTTGGAATGGTCTCCCTTGAGGACATCGAGGATTAAAGCCTCGTATGCATCAGGAATCTTCAGATCAGAGAAACGGCGTTTGTATGTAAGGTCTAGTTCAGATATGACTGTGTCCATGGAGAGACCGGGTTGTTTATTTACGAATTTCATGTACATGGCCTCATTAGGTTGAACTCTGATGACAAGTTCGTTACGAGGGGCACCACGGAAAACGTTTCCAGGAACATCTTGGAACTGAATACGAATTTCAGTCTTTTGTTCACTTAACGCTGTCAAGTAAAAATAAAATTGCACGTGAATGGAATGCAACCGGATGCGATGGTTTGATAACAATTACAATATAATTATAAATTTGCCGTTCTATAGTTAGAGAGACATACCTTTTCCGCATTTAAGAATAAATGGAACACCTTCCCAACGTTCATTATTAATCCAGAGAACAGCGGCGGCATATGTTGGGCAATTACTGCCTGGTGGAACAGTACTGTCTTCTAAATATCCTGGCTTGGTATTGTCTTCCGATCTGGTATATTGACCTAGCAAAGTCTCCTCAATCTTGACGGGAGGAATGGCACGAAGGACGCGTACCTATTAATAAAACGAACCGTCAATAAAGAATCTCGCTAGCGATTGACAAGTTGATCTCGGTCTGAGCAAGCAAGCAAGCAACAACAAACCTTCTCGTCGCGAACGTCCTCCGCATCCAGTGATACAGGACGCTGCATGGCAACAATACTCAGTATCTGAAGTATGTCTGTGGGATGGTTTAAAGTGAGCGTCATTGAAAGTGTGGATGCCTTACGTAATCAAGATACCGTAACACTTACGATTTTGCATTACGTCACGAATAATACCAAATTCGTCGAAATATCCACCGCGACCCTCAGTTCCAATCTTCTCTTTGAAAGTGATTTGTACATTGGAAATACATTGACGATTCCAGACAGCCCCAAAGAAGACATTCGCAAATCGAATAGTCAACAAATTCTTGACCATTTCTTTACCAAGATAGTGATCGATACGATAAACCTATTAACACACGACAAGGTAATGTCAGCACGATGGTTATTATGTTTCATTAGCGTGTTTCCTAAAGAATTGTTTCGATTACCTCCTCCTCCTTCCATAATGGCGCTAGCGCACGGTGTAATTCACGTGAGCTCTCCAAATCATGTCCGAATGGTTTCTCAACAATTAGACGATTGAATCCAGACCTAGAGTAGGCGGTAAGTTTCACGCCTCTGGCAACGGGCACAAACACACTAGGGGGTAGTGCCATATAAAACACGCGATTTTTACTCCCCTTGGCATCGCGTTCCACTTCCGCGATCGCAGTTTCTAGTCGCTGATAACCCTCAACTTTGTCATACGGGCCCGAGACGTATGTGCATAATCGTTTGAATTCTGCGAGTTTTTGCGCATCGATGGGAGCTTTTATGTATGCAGATATTCGCTCACGGAAATCCTCCAATTCAAGTTTGGAACGAGCATACCCGATTATATGCGTTCTCTCTGGCAAAAAGCCCATGCGATATAGGCCAAAAAGGGCCGGATACGTCTTCTTCTTGGCAAGGTCGCCAGAGGCCCCAAGAACTGTTTTGATCAGAAGCGTAAGATCATCAACACATGATCGTGTATGACGGACGAATGTGTTTTACGTTCAATTGCCCGTTTTACATACCGATGACAGTAATAATTCCGTCTGGTTGTTTAGATTTATTTGCCATTGTTAAAATAATGGGATTAGGTCGGTTCGTAGAATTTGTTCGAGTGATCCCAGATGGGAGATACCAAGATCTTCTATGGGCGATTATTTATAAAGAATTCTCATGTATGTTGCACGAAATGATGATTAATGAACGCATTATGAAAACTGAATATGAAGTAGGTATGACAAAATAATATGATACAAATTCATAGAAAGTTTTATCCCGATCAATCAATCAATAGACCAAACATTAACATCATTTGTTAGTAAGCACATTTATGTATGCATTTAACAATTCAACGCTGAAACTGTGAAACGCGTGGAGGTGTGTTAAAATCGACTGTCGAACGCCAAATAATTACTCAGTTGCATTTGATACACCAAGGTAAAACGCAATCAAACAAGGAACTAAGAATTAATTGGTAGAGATAAGCGATCGCCTCATGTTCATATAGTTTATTTGGGATAAGCTCTTCCTCTCTCTTTGCTGCCCATTTACGACATTCTCACACACACGCCATCCAATCACAGAATTCTTCCTTCAATCGAAAAAGATCGTCATGTCATGCATCAGCTGAAATTTTCGTAAAGAGAGAGATCAATTTTACAATGCACAAATGTTGCCACACAACCGATAGCCCCCGCTATCAAAACTTTCGATATTTGCAATTCCCGCAATTCCCGCAATCCCCGTGTGAGAAATAGAATAGCCCATTACTACTACACTTGTTCTTCATATACTCACATTGTCCTCATAACACTTCTCTCTCGTCGCATTCCGATAAAAATCTTTGTCCATTCGCACACAGTACTAGAATAGCATTTGTTAATTCGACAAGAAATGTCGCGTCGACGTAAACAGAACAAATCTGCTTCTGACGACGACCTGTCTCACTTTGATGACGACGCTTATCAGAGCGATGCCAGTACTGCAACAACAGCGACTATTGCGTCGACGGCATATCAACAATATTCCAATTCCCGCCCTGTTCGGCAGAATCTGACGTCTCATCCCAACTCGGTTCATTTTACGATTCCCAACAGACCTACCCGAGTCGGGATTAATCAGGATAGTCAGGCAAATCAGTCTGATGAGGCAAAGAACGAGGATCAAGCTGATGAACAGAATGCGGGCGAAACGTTCTTTCTCGGACGGAAATATCTCTTAACACGCAAGCGTGTAGTGTTCTCGGCTGGGTTGATACTTGGCTTGATCATTGCATGGATGTCTATGGAACCTACAACCGTTAATCAATTCTCAACAATATTTCAGGATTTGGATCTGAGCAGCATTCTACCCGCTAATATACTAGTCGATGAGATAATAGGAAATATGACAATGTTTTTGAAACCAAATATTCTTGCTGATACCGAATTCATGCCTGGAATGCAATTGGCTGAAGCAGGAATAAGTGCAGAGTTTCCGGTAGTATTAATACCAGGGATTGTATCCACTGTAAGTATAGTATGAGATGGGGAGAAAAGTATATGTATAACGAGTGTGTTTTCTTGTTTCATGTGTGACTTACTCTAATCGTCATCACGACTAGGGATTGGAAAGTTGGAGCACGGCAACCTGTTCCCAAAAGTACTTTAGAAGACGAATGTGGGGGACAACGAGTAAGTAACTCGGAGAACTCGTAGATTATTTATTCTTGTTATTATTAGCTATATTTGGAATTCTATCAATTGTATTAATTTACTTGCACATCTTCATAAAAGCAATGTTTAGGGCAGTTTTGTTGGACAAAGAATGCTGGACACATCATATGAAGCTCGATGCCGTGACCGGACTCGATCCACCCGACGTCAAATTACGAGCTGCTCAAGGTTGACAAAGATGGGCGAGATGCTCGTCATGGGGGTGAGGAGGAGTATGAGGATAGAAGTAGTATCAAGTTTTTTAGTGGCTGTCACCAGCTATCATATCATACCCACACCTTTCCTTTAACCCTCATTGCATTAACTGATTATACATATGCTTAATTTTACAGGTCTTGATGCCGCAGATTATTTGTTCCCTGGGTAAGCAATGTGAAGAATGTTTGATCCTGTATTAATCAACAATAGCTAGCGAACGAACACTTTATCCTAAATTAACTCTAATATTCTTATTCTCTTTGGGTATAAAGCTATTGGGTTTGGGGTGAGATATAATTATCAGCTTATTCGATCTATTTTATGCAATACTCGTTTAATGAACAATGTTGAATTAATTTTATCGTCATGTCTCATGCTTTTTTCGATCACACAGGAAAGATGATTCAGAATTTTGCAGCAATTGGATACGATTCCAATAATATGAACTTGGCGGCATACGATTGGCGGCTATCTTTTTATAACCTTGAAGTGCGTGACAAATATTTCTCTAAACTGAAATCAACGCTTGAACTTGCAAAAAATAGTGATGGAAAGAAGAGCGTGCTTGTTAGTCATTCTATGGGTAAGTATAAGAGAAAAGCTATACAATGAGATTATCAGAACAGTGTCATAGAAATTAACAGAAAAATGATCGTATTAGGTTCGATGGTCACTTTGTATTTCTTCAAATGGGTAGAATCCTCGTTGGGCGGAAATGGTGGACCCAATTGGGTTAATGACCATGTTGAGGCATTTGTCAACATCGGCGGGCCCTTGTTGGGGCTGCCTAAGGCGTTATCAGCTCTTTTATCAGGTGAAGATTTATAATACAATACCACTTTATAATTCGGGGTATTTAAATTATATGTTTTTTTTTTTCAAGGTGAAATGCGGGACACGGTAGAGCTTGGTGCGTTTGGTATCTACGTTCTTGAACGCTTCTTTTCTCGTCGCGAGCGCGCAGAAATTTTCCGCACCTGGGGTGGTCTTTCCTCAATGCTCCCTAAAGGCGGTGAAGGCATATGGGGCAATACAACCCATGCGCCTGATGATCGCTCTTATGGTTCTCGCTCAGAATCCTATGGTCCCATGCTCACATTCCGCTCTGTTCCGCGTAACAGTAACAACAGCAAATCGAGTGAGAACAAAAGCGGGCCGCAATTGGTACATAAACATACGTGCAATAGTGGAGTTACGTTTTTGAAACAGAACACGGATAAACTATTTAATGACATGTTGGCAAGAAATTATAGCTTTGGCGTTGCTACACAAAAAAGTGAGTTTAGAGAAGCTTGGGATCATACCAAATGGACAAATCCACTAGAATCCACTTTGCCATATGCACCTGATATGAAGATATATTGTCTTTATGGATGGGGAAAGGAAACAGAACGCAGATATTATTATTCGCACGAGAATGATGGTGATGAGAACGGTGACTGTGAGGAATGTGCGACTGAAGCTGTTGACGACGACGACAACGAGAAAAAACACAGAATCAAAGAGGGTTTGGAGGTCTTGAGAAATATCTTTATAGACAGTTCCATTAATGTTGATACCGAAGGCTTGAAAAGCGGAGTGCACAATGGAGAAGGGTGAGTTTATCACAACTAGAGATAATGAGTATAGCTGGATAACATGTGCGAAAAGTTCCGTTTGAAATTGATCTACTGTATTTCATGCAGAGATGGAACAGTGCCTTTAATATCTCTGGGTTACATGTGTGTCAAAGGATGGAAGGACAGTCTTTACAATCCTGCCGGCATTAAAGTAATCACGCGAGAGTATTATCACGAAACAGCAACATTCGATCTCCGAGGAGGGTCGAAAACGGCTGATCATGTGGATATACTTGGAAATTATGCTGTAACGGTGAGTACATCCAATATTAGATATGAACGCCAACTAGCCGTTTGATATCAGTCGACTACTGGTCATGATGTCAACTATTGCGTATTGACAAATTAACTTTCTACCCTTGTTACATGTTAATAGGAGGACGTGCTCAAAGTTGCATCAGGCGCCGGGGATAGGTTAACCGATCGATTCCACTCTAATATACTTGAATATGCAGAGAGGGTAGAACTATCATGATTAGGATTTCGGAATATACAATATTCATAGCTGAAATAAAGAAGGATACAAAGAGGAACATTGAGAGCTAGCGCACAAAAGACTAAAGAAGAAGAAAAAAAAACGCTTGGTTCAAATGCAGTTGATATGGCAAAGATCTTTAAGTGCTGTTAGAATGATTGCGTGGGAATAGTTGAGCAAACAGATAGTCACCTGTAGTTTGTTTTCTTTTCATGCTCTTGAACTTAATCTCGTATGGAAGGACTTTGGATGTTAGATGAAATAAAATTCCAATGCACAATAGACTGACAAGTTTCTGGTGCCATGCAACATGCTCATTAAAATTCAAATGATCCATTTTATTATATATTGGTAAAAATTGTAATTTGCGATCGAAATCATAAACACCTACATCAACTCTTTTGATTAGATATGACATCGGCCACTCTGCAGATATATTCCATATATCAGACCTTTTTGAAATCAGTCTCCACCCAATAACCACGCCTTCTTCTTCATCTCTTTCTTTTCTTTCCTTTTCTGCCTAAGCAAATTCAGCTCCCTCTTACTCAATTTCTTTTCCTTTTGTTCTCCCTTTAATCTCTTTCGTCCTCGTTCTTCAGCATATTGCTCATAATTAAAGAAAAACGACATTTGACGCATTGCCTTGGCATCAGCAGAAAAGCGTTCAGGGTTTAGCGTTGGGTCTCTTTGGAAACGACCAGTACGAGCATTAAAGCGGGCACTTGCTGTGTAATTTGGTGTATGTGTAGTTACGGAAGAAGAAGAAGGTGGGAGTGGCGGAGGGTAGGATGGAAGTGGCGGGGGATAAGACGGAAGTGGTGGAGCCGAGTCTATCGGAAATGTGGTTGAAGAATCGGTTGACGTAGATGTGTTATTCTCATTAGATTGTTCTTTGGATTTTCCATCGAGCTTTACTTTTATTTCGGTGTCAATCTTATCCAGCAGTGAGTCCAGTGGATTTACCTCTTCTGCTCTGTCCGTTGCCTCAAACCCCGTCGTCTCTCCTGAATACCAGTAATTCGGATAATAGTGTTGGTAGTTATAATCTTGCGTGTCGTCGTCGTCCATTAGCGATTATAGTAGTGACAATGTGATGGCGAGAAAAATGTGCTAACACGTGATTATTGAGGCCTGACAATTTATTATCATATATTAATATGGGTAACCACATGATGATCATTTGATAATCATTAGCGAATCTTAGTTCTTTTTGATTGTTATTATTATAATTCCTTGCTTAAATGCACAAGTCATTGCTTCTGATATTAATAAATTTGACACACTGACCTAGACAGTGTTTGCTATATGATAGTGCCAGATGTTTGATCGATTAAAATTAGGTTACGAAAATTAAAATGATTGCTTGCAACAGTTCGAGTCCAGCATATGGCTTTACAGTCAATTTTTTGCGCAACCTCATACAGGGAGTTCTTCACCATATTTATTTTAAAACGAAGTATGGTGCAGGACGTCTATACTCGACAATCACGTGATTTGTTTCAATTTTAAAGCCCTATAACTTTTTACACAGACATTATTTTTAAGATTGAACCGGTAACTTTGTAGAGCTTACTGTGAAGAACAAAAGTACCAGTCAGATTTTAAAAATAATATCTGTAAAAAGTTGAAGGGGTTTAAAGATGCCTAAGTAATTCGAATGGTCCGTACCATATTTAGTTCGATCTACCAATTTTAACCAATTATATGCTACTAATACGTTGTTTCAATTTCGATCAAAAGTTATGGATTTTAAAACCCTATAACTTTTTACACAGATATTATTTTTAAAATTTGACCGGTAACTTTGTAGAGCTTACTGTGGAGAACAAAAGTACCAGTCAGATTTTAAAAATAATATCTGTGTAAAAAGTTGAAGGAGTTTAAAGATGCCTAATATGTGATTGTCGAGTATAGATTTCCTGCACCATAGAAAATGATTAAAGAGCAATTGAATGCAGTTATTAAAGACAATTAACAGCCTTTCCACGTAACAGAACACGACCAGCGGCCTCATCAGCAATTTCCGACAATGTAGGAATTGAATTGATTACTTCCTTTTCTCAATATATTTTATACTAATCGACATCATTTCAGCAAGAACTTGATTTCTTTTTTTCGTTCCGTTCCGTTTATTATTTGAGGTTACATATTTTTTTATCACCGCCACGTATTTAGGTTATGCTGTTACTTTGATTTAAAAATGTTTGAATTATTGCAGAATATGTTTCGCTATTTTTGTCCTTCAACATTATCTTAGACGGTTCATAGTCATGCCGACGACGTATTGTATAATTGTTTTTGTCATCAATCTTAGTCGCGACGGTCTTGTTACATGAGGGAAATCAGTCATTCCACTGAATAATCTATGATGTAATGACACTCTGAGTAAATCTATGCCTTTTTTGGTTCGGGTGAACCAATTCGACAAATTTGGAACAAAGTTCATTAATAATCGCAGCAAGACAGTCTTTTCTTTACTTTCGGGAATATACAGGATGACGATCATATTTTAACATACAATTTCGTTATTATTATACTTATTAGCATTAGTATATATTTTGACATACAAGATGCGCCACTAAATTTATACAATTCCAGATTAATTGAAAAATCGGAGCCTTTCTGACAATATTAACTCAACAGAGGTAAAGTAAAATGTCTTGAAACGATCCGAAACGATTTGCATTAGTAAAAAAACTATTTATGTACTGTACAACTTGAAATCAATTAAATTTGCGTTAGTACTAATACTAAGGGGATCGCCCCCGCTAAACGACATATTGCAGAATGATAAACATTCTAAACCATTACTGCCTTTCCGAGATGGACCGGTCATTCGTTTTGCCCAAAATCCATGTGTTTGTATTCCCTCACCATTTGACTCTGAAGCCAATCGATTGTATTTTCTGGATTGTGAACTATTTACATACCGATCACTAGTCAGGTTTCGGACTGCTGCGGAGATTGGTGTTCGATGAGAGTAAGCGGAAAACATTCATACGATCTTAAATTAGGATAATAATAAGTACGCTAACGTCATTACGTCTGCATAGTAATTAATGAAGATTGAAATTTTACGAATTGGTGATATCTTCCGTTACTAGTTCATCACGTATAACCGAACTTGGAACTTTAAACAATCAAGTTCCATGGTTTGTGGAAATAATAGTCCCGTTTGTTCGTTAATAACTCGGGTTATTAATGTTGATATTGTAAAAACGGCATTAAGGATTTTGCGATCGAGATTTGTAACCAAGCATTGATTATGTCAATATCGAACAATACTATTTGTAGATCGGTAAAAAGAGTCTGATTTCTGATAGAGAAAATAATTCGGGGAGCTAACAAAACAAGACCGCCGTAATACATATCCGAATAGAAGACACAGCCACCAATAAAGGCGCTTCGCATAGCCGAATAGACTATTGTTTCGTCACTTGATAATCAAACCGAACTTGAAGACCAATACCAATTTCATTTTTTCTAAGTCAATCAGACGCTCACGTTTATACTTACTTACTATTATCAATTAATATCCCTTAACAGAGAGTAAATAGTAGGACAGGCAGTCGAAAGAATAAAGCACAAGATTTCCTTAAATCGTTGTATATAATAAACATTATTTAAATGAATCATAAATCATCAGAGGCGACAATCAAAATGTTTGTAAATCATCACAGTTTGTGAATGATGTCAGAAAAAGACTAATTTCAAGATCCTAAAAGGGTTAACCAATAGTTTAATTCCCGAACAAAGTTAGTCGTCAAAAAACAAAGCAAATGGTCGATTCAACCAATGACGAATTTTTGCAGCCATGGAGTAAAAATACACCGCGGGCCGATCAATGGCCGTAGTAATTAATTTCTCCAGTCGCAATTGATTCGAGTATAACATGTGCGAAAAATCAGATGTAAATTCTTGTGTTTGAGGTTCAGGGTTTACCCGATTAGTCAGTCTCTCTTTGGTTCCGTGCAAAGTTATTTGCCCTAAAAAGTCAAAACTGTTGGCCCGAGATCTGCAAAAACTGTAAATTAGAAATACTATAAATACAACGCGCACTGGATCCCAAGTGCAATCGCTTATACGTAGCAAGCAAAGAGCGACGTTAAATCAAGGACTACAACTACCATTAAATTTTTTTATAATTAGCGAGCATTTGTGTGTTAAAATCCTAAATTCGACTTTTATTCACCAACCGATAAAATTTTACTTGAAAAAGAAAATCACCCGAAGAATTGAAAATGACGTTCAATATGACGGAAAAAGGTGTACATACCGAAGAGAAAGAAGCAAAAGTCTCATTTATTCAGTTATTCCGTTTTGCAACTACTACCGATAAAATATTAATAGCTCTTGGCAGCATCGGTGCTGCAGCGAACGGAGCTGCGCTACCCTTAATGACCATCGCTTTTGGTGGAATAATTACAGCATTCGGCGTGTTTTCTATTGGAGTCACTCAAACTACCGATAAAGAACAGCTTGATGCGTTAGGAGATCAATTGAAAGACACAGTTAGGGACAAATTGTATTATTTTATTGGTCTCGGCGCTGCTACTTTTATATTAAGCTATTTGCAAATGGCATTTTGGATGGTTGCTGGCGAGAACCAAGCAAAGAGAATCAGAGAAAAATACTATGCAGCGATTATGCGACAAGACATTGCTTTTTTCGACGCTATCAGCACTGGGAATGTAACTAGCCGTATTTCCGGAGATATATCATTACTACAGGAAGGCATTGCCGAAAAAGTCGGATTAATTATTCAATATATTACAACCTTTATTGCCGGATTCGTTATAGCATACACCAAACAATGGAAATTATCGCTTGTTCTAACCGCCGCGCTCCCATTACTCGTTGCTGCCGCGGGCCTAATGTCTAAAATTCTAGCCGCAGCAAGTAAGGATAGTCAAGATGCCTACGCCGCCGCTGGTGCTGTTGCCGAACAAGCATTCTCCAGCATTAGGACTGTCGCAGCGTTTGGTGGAGAAGAACGTGAAACTCAGCGATACGTTAGTAAACTAGACAAGGCTTATCAAGTTGGGAAGAAAAGAGCGTTAGTTAACGGTATCGGCATGGGTTCAATTATGTTTACGATATTCGGAACTTATGGTTTGGCATTTTGGTATGGTGCTACTCTCATAGTTAACAACGAAACGAATGGTGGAACAGTGCTGAACGTATTCTTTGCCATTATTATCGGTGCTATTCAACTGGGACATGCCGCCCCTAATTTCGCTGCTATCGGACACGCTCTTGGTGCCGCCGCCAAATTGTACGAGGTGATCGACCGTGTTCCCAAGATCGATTCCGAATCCACTGAAGGAATGAAATTGGCCAAAGCGAACGTGGTTGGAAAGATAGAATTTAAGAACGTCGATTTTCACTATCCCCAAAGACCAGACGTTCCGATACTGAAGAATTTCAATTTAACAATACAACCCGGTCAAACCGTCGCACTCGTTGGAAGTTCGGGAAGTGGAAAGAGCACCATTGTTAGTCTGTTGGAACGCTTTTATGATCCAATAAACGGGCAAGTATATCTCGATGGGGTGGACATAAGAAATATCAACATTAAATCGCTTAGAAGTCAAATCGGTCTTGTGGGACAGGAACCAGTTTTATTCCCAACGAGCATCGCCCAGAACATCGAATGGGGTGCCATACCCGACGAAAAGGGACCTACAATGGATGAGATAATTGAAGCGTGTAGGAAGGCCAACGCACACGAATTTATCGAAGAATTGTCTGACAAGTACGATACAGATGTTGGCGAAAAGGGCTCTCTTCTCTCCGGTGGGCAAAAACAACGCATTGCTATTGCTAGAGCATTAATAAAAGATCCACGAATTCTTCTTCTGGATGAAGCCACTTCTGCATTAGATACTGAATCCGAACGGTTGGTTCAAACCGCTCTCGACGCTGCTGCTACAAACAGGACGACTGTGGTTGTTGCTCACCGATTATCAACAATTAAAAACGCCGATTTGATTGTTGTCATGAACAAGGGTGAAATAATCGAAATGGGAAAACACGACGAGTTGATTTCCAAGGAGGGCGTCTATTATAGTCTGGTCAAAGCTCAAGAGCTAAAGACGAAGAAAAATGCCGAAAAAGAAGAAGAAAATACCGAAGATGATTCTTCATCCACTGACCAATCGGACGATATTACTGTTGACATGAACGAACCAAAATCGCGCGAAATGATGAGAAGAATGTCCACGAAAGCATCAGTTTCCAAGTCGTATAAATCTCGACAAGAAATCGAAGAGGAAGCAATCGAAAAAAGCAAAAACAAAAAGACGCCTCTCGGTCGTATCTTCCGATTGAACCGACCAGAGGCTGGTATTATGGCTATCGGTGCTGTTGGTTCTATTATAAATGGAGCAATAATGCCGCTATTCTCTCTCGTGTTTTCTACCATCCTCAATATATTTTCTCACGTTGACGACCTTCATAAAATGCAACACGACGCTAATTTCTGGGCTGGCATGTTTGTTGTGTTGGCGGGAACAGCATTCCTTGCTAACACCGCGCAACAAGGTCTATTCATACTATCCGGCGAACGTCTAACTCGAAGATTGCGTAGGCTTACGTTTACAGCTCTCATTAAACAAGAGATTGGTTTCTTTGATGATGAAAATAATGCAACTGGAATACTCACCTCGAAGTTGGCTGTCGATGCATCTCGGGTAGAAGGCCTTACCGGTAGTCTTATGGGCACTATTCTTTCGACCGTCTCTAGCATAGTGAGTGGACTAGCAATTGCGCTGTCTGCTGGATGGAAGCTGGCCCTAGTCGTCATAGCGGCATCGCCTGCTATAGTTGCATCCGGCGCGTTGCAAATGAAGTCGTTGGCGGGATACGGAAACCAGACACGTAAGGCGTACGATAAATCGGGACAAGTGGTACAGCAGAGCGTGTCTAACATGAGAACCATCGCTGCATTGACAAGAGAAGAAACATTCAAGGATTTATATAACAGAGCCATTTTGGAACCACATAGGATAGCAGTGAAGGGTAATTACATAAGCTCTCTTGGATTTGGATTGTCTCAAGGTCTCTTGTTTTTCGTATGGGCTCTTGCGTTCTGGTACGGAAGTCGACTCGTGAGCAGTCTTGAATACACACAGTCGCAGATGTTGCGCGTATTGTTTGCGGTAGTGTTCTCGGCAATGTCGCTTGGACAGATGTCTTCGTTTGCCCCAAGTTCAGCGAAAGCCAAGGTGGCTGCTATCAACGTGTTGGAGATTCTAGATCGTAAAAGTCTTATTGACGCGTCAGATGTTGAGGGCAAAGAAATGCCTGCTCCTATTACCGGTACATCGTCTATCTCGAATGCCGTGTTCAACTACCCAGCTAGACCGGATGTGCCTATATTGAGAGGATTAAATATAGATATATTGGCAGGAAAAACCATCGCTCTCGTTGGTCCATCTGGTAGCGGAAAAAGCTCGACCGTGTCGCTATTGTTGAGGTTCTATGACGTCTTATCAGGAAGCGTAAACGTGGAAGGTGTCGATGTGAAAGATATGAATTTACAATATCTTAGATCGAATATAGCATTAGTAGGACAAGAACCGGTATTGTTCGACTTGACTATTGGCGAAAATATAGCTTACGGAAAAGAAGGATGCAGTCAAGAGGAGATAGAGCAAGCAGCAAAAGCAGCCAATATTCATAACTTCATAATGGGTCTTCCACTCAAGTACGATACACGAGTCGGTGAGAAGGGCACACAATTGTCAGGAGGACAGAAGCAGCGTATAGCTATCGCACGTGCATTGATTCGTCACCCAAAGATTCTTCTTCTAGACGAGGCTACGTCTGCACTAGATAGTGAGAGCGAGAAAGTTGTGCAGGATGCGCTCGACAAGGCATCAACTGGACGTACTACCATCACGATTGCCCACAGATTATCAACTATTCAAAATGCAGATTTAATATTAGTATTAAAGAAAGGAAAAGTGGTTGAGCAAGGTACACATCTACAATTAGTTGACATGAAAGGACTATATTACGATTTAGTTACCAAACAGGCATTAATAAATAAGGAAAGCACATAGAATTAGACTCGATACATGATAAACAATTGTATGTAATTATTGGCGATTAGCGCGTTAGAATTATAAATATAAATATTTATCATGACTTGTAAAATCTTTACATTTATTTAATTTAATCAAAAACGTCAATATGATCGATTGTTGAATCTTAATATCGTCGATTTAGCGATAACTTGTACATTAAACAATCTATTTTAATTACGAGCATTTCAACACATTGACAAAACTCTTGCCGCTTTATACGGAGAACAATATATAACAGCCTTTGAAAATGCCATAATTCTTTATAGAATTAGCATTTGTCGTGGAATGCAATAAATGCCATGGGTATGATATTACCGTTTTGGAAAATAAACACGTTAATTTTTCGTTTATGGAGAATTCGAACATGACTTGACCTTCTATGGATAACCAAATTTACTATTACCGACCGTTTTCAAGAAACTTACCCTTAACCGAATACTAAATTAGTCAGAAAAATAAAGACGCCGAATTAGCTAACGATCGAAGGAAACCCATTAAGTTAAAGACATCGCTAAAGTTTATGCAAGTAATCTTAAATATACAACGAACATAATCTGTAACTTATTCATTACTAGCATGCGCTTAAAATAAAATTTCGTTGGCAATCTTGTCACAAATAAAATTTAAAACCCAAAGTCAGATAATAAGCTTGATAGTTGGCAGTCCTTTTTCTAAAGACAGTGTGAACTCGTAAAATAACTTTTAACAGAATTTTTTTCGATCGAATTAATTTAAAAGCCTTTCATAAAAATAGTTACCAGATTACTGACCTTTCACTCTTCTGGTAGGACCTTAAGTCGCCAAATTTTGCTTTTTATAAACGACAAAAGACTAAAAGTTTGGATAGTTTATTAACTCGACTCGAATAAAAGAGATATGGCTATCTGTACATTATATCATTGATGGAGTAATATTAATTTAACATAATAATCAGTAATAAAATTTTCAAGTCAGTTAACTTATCGGCTCGTACTCGCTGTAGTATCAAATTCGGTCAGTTATATCAGCGCCTGTCAAAAGACTGAGACAGCGCGTATCTAAACACAATTTAGTTAGTATTCGCACGATATTAATTTTGAGGATTAAGCTTGTGTTGGTAATGAATTTTGTCTAATGGCGCGTAACCGCTGTTAAATATTATTGTTATTATTTCGGAAAAACTAAAATCTGAGAAAAACCGAGAGTATCAAGATGATGGATTGATGTATTAAAAAAGTACTATGTACCAGAAAACTAGACGTACTGGATTTTCTTCAGTATTGGCAAATAGGGTTCGTGTCATAACATAGACAATTACTTCGCAGACGTTATGTTTCATTAACAATTATTCACCGACAGTTATTTCGCAAACAGTTATAGTTGTTGAACACAGGTGTAAGTTACAGTCGATGCACAATTCTTTAATTCCTAATCTCGCAAATGATAAATCATTGTTGGCAAAATAAAAAAGTCTGTCGGTGAAATATAACGTCTGCAAAATGACTGTTGATGATTTATTCAACTGCTTGTTTTGCTTAGTCGTGACTTAAAATTTCTTTCACGAGTGAAAATAAAGCAATTCCTAATATTAAGCATAATTATAGCTATTAAGCATTATATGCAAATATTACCGGTAGTGAAAAAAAGGACTGATCGCATTGAGATAATCAGCTTTCTTTGGATTTGACAAATTATCTTGACTATTAAAATGACCAATCTTTTGTAATAACTCAATGTTTGAAAATTTCTTCGTACACAATTCAGTTTATGTGTATCTTTCTCAAGAACTTTTTAGCTGCTCTTTTGCAAGATACCCATGTTTCTATGCATTAGCTTTTGAAGCTGGAACTTTATAACACGTGGATTGACGATCAGATCATCAAGCACGTGTTTATTTATTCAGATGAAAATTCGGTAGATCTTGTGCTTATCGTTATCATTGTTGTTATCGTTATCGCCACTTATCAGCGTTATCCTATTTAAGATTATGTGATTGAAAAAAGCATTATTGTTGTATTTAGAAAGAGGGAAGGGGGTTAATCAATCTGACTACACATATTAATATGTATTAGTATATATGTTAAATATATACGGTATTGCAGGGATGGGGTACATGGAAAAATGACTCTCCGGATTTGCGTAGTACGTGTTGATCCGATCATGTGGAGATCGGCAACCCAATGCAAAAAATGGCAATTACCGATTGTGGGCCCTTACTATTATCTCGATTTTCCCCAATGTTCTGAAAAGCAAAGAGTAAAGTAAAATAAATAAAATAAAAGTTATGCGGTTAGTACTAACACGGCACGTACCACAAATAACCTCTTTGCTTCGAATTCCCAGATTAGAATGTATCAGTTTTGCATATTTGGAGAGTGTTCAAAAACCGAATTGAATGGCATATCATAGCATTGTGAGAGTCGGAAATTAAATCAACAGGCTCTCCGCCATTACAGTATTGTGTATGTATAAATAAATATAGTAAACAGAGACCACCACTGCACTGCCGCATACAACTAATGATGTTCGATAATGATGTTCGATGCATACATGAATATGCTGCAGTGCAAATAAATGGTAGTAAATGTAAACAGTTGCACCCGCCGCCCAGCCGCTTCTAAATAAACATTGGTGATGTCCGACTCATCGGAGTTTACTAGGAGTTTCCGCTTTGACGATCGTTTGACACACAATAATACATGGGTATCACCGTGACAGCAATTAATAACCCATTCCTACTGCCAAATTTGTATTCATTGGAAATAGATATCACCTTTGTCTGTTATCACAGCCATTCACTTTTGGTCGTACATTTAAAACGAAACTAGTTTTCCATTCTGGATTAAGAGTGCATGACTTGCTGACTGTTCAGTGTTTATGTTGCATAAAGATGTTCGACCGCTGGAACAGTGGAAGAGATCGTTTAAATCAAAATAGGTAACTTTTGGCAATCGAGTTGTAGATTATTATGATAAACATCACACCGACCCCCTTCGACTCTTTCCAAAAAAGATTATATGCAGTTTAATAAATCTTTCCTTCGTTCTTTTATTTATTCATTCAATACACCCCAACATTTTTAATATCCTCCTAAAATAGCTCTTTCCTTTTAAACCCAAAAAATTTTCCAAAATAAAATAAAGAGTTGCATAGCGTGCGTAACGACGTAACATATCATAAAAGTTAAAAGATTGTCATAATGAACTGGTCGACATCGACCTTAGAAAAGAGGGTGGTTTCCTATAGTCGTAATCTCAAACATACAAAAAATAGGAGGATGACTGATGATTTTGCAACGGAGTGATAGAAAATGCATACGACCGTTGAAGAGAATAAGTAAAAAAGATGAGAAGAAAAAAAAAGTCTATTCGGTGTTGCTTTTGTATCTCCTGTAACATGTATTAATCTATAGCAAAAAGGTGGAAGATTATGTGTGTGTTTGTATTTTGGGTCATCTATCGTTAGATTGATGTGATGATGAAAAGAAATAAAAAAGAGAGAATCAAGAGAAGAAAGAGAATGGTAAAAGTGAAAAGCTAATTCGTTTCCGGTTTGTTCATGGAATCAATTCCTCAACTGATCGCCTTTGAAAATGAAATAAATACAATATTATAAACATCATCAATCAAGCAAGCGGTGAGTGAGGAAAATCACCAAAAAATTGAAAAAAGACAGACTATTATAACTATCACACTGACTATATATTGCATAGTCTTGACAGTAATTCAGCATGTGATTTAACATGGCATTGAATATATCTCTTTCATATCCGATTACGATCCAACATTCATCTTGTAACTCTTCTCGTTTCTCTCTTCTCTTCACTCTCCCATCTTGATCAGAAGAGGGGGTGATTTCAGTGAAAACATATGATACAAAGAAAAGGATATGAATGTGGAACCCATCAAATTGTGTTATTCCCAAGTAAAGGAAAATGTTACAGGAATTTCGTATCGAAAAAAAAAAAACCGACACAATAGTCCAAAGTATAAACAAAAAGTAAAAAAACGAAGAAAGATGAGCAGAAAAAGAAGGTGAACGAACACTGTCAATACGAATATAATGCGAAAACGCGGAACCAAGAATGTTCAATTAGTTCCGCGTAACACAGTCGCCCCCCAAATAAGCTGACCTTTTTTTTTTTGATATATCACTCTTGATAAGAAATATCCAATAGTTCTATATATCTCATATTCACAATAATTTGACACTGTGTTTCGACAATCTCGTCAAGCATCCAATCCATTTTATGCCCAAAACATCGTATTCAAATTATATCCAACATACCCGCTACAAAAATCAATATTACAAAGTATTAACCAACAACACTCACAGCATACTCGATGACACAAAAAGTATACACGCAATAGGGATCGTTTGTATTTGTAATTTTCTTTCCCTTTCAGCATCCTCTCAACACCGTTGTTGGATTCATAACCTTCACTCCCTCTACCTCACCATCATATCTAACTTTCTTTACAGGTCTACCCAGTCGATGTACACGTAGATGTCTCCTCATGTTACTCTGTACAGAAAACTTCCTTCCACATCCAAGTTCGGTGCATACAAACGGTTTCTCCCCTGTATGTGAATATGTGTGAATGCGTAATGAACTTGGGCGACTAAACCTCTTGGAACAGTATGGGCATTGGTATCTATTTGTCGTAGACGACTGGGTGGAAGACGCAGATGGGTCATCTAGCGACTTTGGAGATCCAAGGCGTTTTGATTGTGCCATGAGCGATGAAGAGAGATCAATTCGAGGTATAGCCTGTGCAGCCGAGAGAGGCGTGCGATGATACGGAGAAAGTGCTGACGATTGTAACGGGTGGGAGGGATATCGTTGTAATGATGCATATTGATGGGAATGTGGAAAGTCTTGCTGGGTAATGGATGTTGAGAGTGGGGATGGTGCTCGTGGTGTAAGGAGCGCTTGCGTGTACAACTGAGTCTTATTCATATATGGGTAGTTCGTGTATTGTTGTGCAGAGTAACGGGTTGCATCTTGAAAAGAGGGATGGTTTGTGGACGTCATATCTGGTGACTCGGGCGGGGAGAGTAATGACAGAATGTTTGATGGATGGGGATTATTCGGTAAGTTGGAGAGTAACATTGTAGATTTTGTGGGTGAAAGTGATTGTGGATATGATTGTGGATATGATTGTTGAGATGGTGCCGGGAGAGTGGGAAGCAGAGGTTGCAGACGCTGTGTTTGGGAGTAAGTGTCTTTTGGAAGATGTTGTAACTGGTGTTGAAGGGGTTGCATGTGGTGTTGAAATGGCTGTTGAATGTGTTGGATATGTTGTTGTTGCTGCTGCTTTTGCTGTTGAATGCGGATATGTTGTTGTTGTTGGTGGTGAAGTTGCTGAAGCGATTGTTGATGGTGTTGGAGCTGCTGCTGTTGCTGTTGCTGTTGTTGTTGTTGTTGTTGTTGTTGTTGCTGCTGCTGCTGTTGCTGTTGCTGCTGCTGCTGTTGCTGTTGCTGCTGCTGCTGCTGTAGCTGCTCTTGTTGTTGCTGATGAAATATCATTGGTGTTACTGGAGGCGTTGTTGTGGATTGAAGAGAAAGTGAGTTGAGTTTTGTAGAAGGCTGGGTTGTATTGATATAATCACTAGAAACGTCTTTGATAAGGTGTTGTTCTACCACGGGTTGAGTTGATTCTGGAAATTGAATAAAAAAAAATACAAGTTAGTTACTACTCGGCCACAATAAAAAGTATGAATTTACTTGCATCTTTAGCAGTTGGGTAGATGAGCAGTTTTGATTATTGATTGCTATTTGTGTGATGATAAAGAGGCGATGTGATTATTGACTGGTTACGCAAATTATTAGATAGTATGCAGCCTATAACGTATGTTATATCTGCACGGTCTGTCGTATGTTGTCTTGTACAATATAATAGACTCTCGCATCGATTTTCCCTCTATACTTTCACCGCTATTGCTGTTTACGCGATTGCGTCATTTCGAATCTAAATTTGCTACACATGTACAATGATACGTATTCGTGGTGCACTTGATCAAACAAAATGTGATCTCATTTCTGACTGACACTGTATTCAGGAGTTGCAACATAGCCTCTGTTATTATTTGTCGATAATGTAGACCCTTTGTCTACGTTTATGAGACGTAATACCACACCGCTCGAGTATCAGCAGAAGCTGTTAGCCCATTTTAACTGCTCATCTACCCACTCGATCGTTGGCAAGCGTCACGGCATCCAATCCATCTCATCTATAGTCCCTCTTCCTCAACCCATCAAATTACCATGTGTATGATCTTCTACCGGTGAATCGAGAAGCGCTCGGATGGGGGGAAGGAGTGGTTTAGCTGATTGCATATTGTCGTATTTCTTAATGTCTGTATATCAATAAATGTAGGTAGATCGGCAGATAAAATTTCGTAATTTGATTGTATGGCGGGCAAGGTCTATATATAATAGATTTTGTATGAGTTATCTAATTGGTGTGTATCGTAATTTATATCTGAGACAGTTTTATGTTAATTGATGTCAGTGTCCGTGCAAGAGCGACTCTGAGCCGTTTCAGATAGCTCTATGGAGGGAACGACGAAAGTATCTTACAAGGTACAGATAAAGACGAAGAAAAATAAAGCGAAAGATAAACGAAATAAGAAATGAAAATAGAAATAAAAGTGATTTTGGGAAACACGAGAAGTGTTTGAGGTCCCAGAGAAAGAGGGACGCTTATATTTATTTTCCACGATTTGTGTAACTTTATGTGTATTATAAAGTATTATAATTAACGTATTTAACGCACACGTGATCTAAAATAAATTTATGTGTGTCTATTGTAAGATAGTATATATACAACATATACATTATATTTATATATAAATTATGTAATAAATTCTTTGAAATATAAATATACGTAAACGGCCATAAAGCTCTTTATCTTGTCGTTTATATTCTGTATAAACGCATACCATGTTATATATTATGAGCTAGCTTGCATACTACGGGAAATATATATGGGAAAACCAACACAGAACTCTGTCACGAAGATATGAGACGAGGGAGCAAGCCCGCAGGTAGTTGGGTAAGGCCTATTTACCAAGTGCATAGATGCTTCGTATATGCGACAGGCATTTTAAGCCATAATAAGAGCACGTAATCTCATTTACTGTGTATAATTTTCGGCAAAACAGTCTTTATAAAGTTAGGTAATCGGCAGATAATAAAAGATTCGCAGAGAATGCATACCATTATGATTTCACTTCAAACGATTGTACGTGACAAACAAAATGCTCATCATTGAGAACATATACTGGCCTATGTAATAAATAAGCAATTTCATAATCATACAGGTTATTATTGAAAAGTCTTCAAGTTATCGCTATTTTTATGCATGTCGCCACATATCTAACCATTCTCAACAATCGTCAAGTCTATTAGTCCCCCAACACCCTAACCATGATCAATCGGGAACCCATAAAAATACTTTACCTTCCTCAAATTTGCGTATGGTCTTAAATTTAAGCGCTAGTTCATCGTGTTTATCTTGAGTAACAATTTCGGTTAACTGTCTTAAAGGTTGCATACCAAATCGGCCGGCTATTCAAGGTGATTTTGGCTATTTCCCTTTATATTCAGATCCTCCTAGCGGTTTGTCAGCATCGACTTGTCACATCTTGGCGATCTTCGGAACAATTCTTTTTGGTCTGTCCAAAGAACTACGTGCGGGTCACTCTTACTATTGGTACAGCTAAATGATGGACTGTGTGGATCTGAAAACAATTAATAGCGGTCAAGCGTTTATAGACCATAAAACGAAAAAGAAAAAAGACGGATGATGATCAGAGGCGTAGAGTGAGACATATGATATATGGCGATCGCTCGTCTGATAGATTGATACGAAAGATAATAATAACAAAATACATTATCTATTGTCGATAATAAGTCTTTATACGAAGGTAGTAATTACCATAACGGTCTCTTATTATTCTACTTGTGCATTAATACTATCCAATTTCCGATCCCTAATCCCTAACCCTTGCGATTTGCATGCTATCGGTTAATCGCAAACAAAGTCAAGGACACTTGTTTGAGGGGAAAAAGAGGGAAGGTGGGGGAGGAGGAGGAGGGAGGGGGGGGGGAGGGGTTCAATTGATGCATCGGCCAGTACTTGTCTGGACTTATCCGCATCACCTGTCATTACGCCATTATCTTTTCCTTCTCTATGCATTTCTACTTGACTCTCCATGTTTTTCGGATGTAATGTACGAAAATCTCATAGCTCCTGTTAATTTACCGTCTCTGATTCGACAGATTATTATTGACCTCCGTCAGAATGAAACTTAAATTTGTCTGCATATAGTGTGTCATTCACGCCAAGATTTGGAAAGTGAAGATCGAAGAAGAGAACGATCGGATAGGTAATAACAAAGGGGATGAAAATACTAAGAATAGTAAAGTAATTATTACTATTTTGAATCAATTGCCTATCGAAGGGTATTACACTATTACAGCTATTCCCAAATTGGCCGAGACATTCCCATCCATCTTTCTGTATACTTCTTCGCGATGAGATAATATATATACGACTGTGTTACATGGGTTTGCGGCATACATCTATTTCTAGCAGAATGAGTAATGTCGGAAAACTTTTTCTTTGATTTTGCCATGTTGGGAAACATTACTATTAATGGAGTAGTTTTAATAAATTCGATTATTGATTCTCCGTTTATCTCGTTCGGTCATTTAACACGAATGTTTACTTTCATCAGACGTGACATCCACGTAATTGTTTAATAATACACAGCTTATATTTACATGCATTTACATCAGCCTTCTTTGTCTCGACAATCTGCATATGGGTCTTCTTCAATACCAGGTACTTCTGCATCCGACAAGGCTGTATCCATTACTCGCACCATTCATGATAATGTTACTAGTTAATATGGAATAAATTTTTGCCGTTACTACTGTAATCTCGGTTATTAAGAATTGTTCATCACCCTAAAATGATTGTCGCATTTAATTATTGTGTATACATCATAAATAAGGAAAGAAGCTAGTATGGTAATTTG